GAAATGGCTCCAAACCTAAGGAAATGCTGTCACAATCAAGTAGCATTTTGATTAATTTTTCTACTCAAACGATAAAACAATATCAGTCCTAAAGAATAAACCAGAATTAAATTATTTTACCATTAAAAAAGTATTATATTTCTGATTTTTTTGAAGAGAAAACAAATTTTAATACCAACCTTTGGTGTAACGAATTTCGAGAAGGGATTAATTTTTTCAAGACGGCAACATAATAAAAATATATATATATATAATTTCATATTTCATTTGAATACTTTTCAAAAGTATGAGTGTTATTATGAACTGGTTATCTTTATTTATTTATTCTATTAAAAAAAATAATAATCTAGTTATTTTTATTGAAACATTAAAATTAAATTGTAATAATTATTTCAAATATTCGTCACATTTTACTAAAGAGATATATTAAAAACATTATTTTATTATTATACCTATCTAAATAGTAATATTTTCTCAATTTCAAATTAAAAAACAGTCTATTATAATAAGTATTAACACCAAATTTATTGGGCCAAATAATTTGTATTAGCCTTTTCTTTATTTTAAACAATTTAATTGAAATCATCTCATCGAATGACATATCAACGAAATCTCATTCAATAGTATTAAAGACGAAAGAATGTATAATTAAGTAGAGGTGCCCACCTCCCCCCAAAATCGATGGCGCATGATTCTCCCCTTTTTCCTCCCCAAGATGTACTAGCGGATCCAGGATTTAATTTGGGGGAGGAGGGAGAAGACTTCAGCCCGATAGGTTTTTTTTTCTTACATATGACAATAATTACCTCGGAAAAGAAAAGAAACTAACTACCTATATGAAATAGTGTTTAAGTGATACTTGGAGTCCTATTAAATGTAATTACACACGAACAATAATTTTTTCCATAAAACAGAGTTAATTTTACCATTTTGGGGGGAAGGCTTCAGCACGTATTATACTTTCGTTAGTCGGTATGTCAAGAAGTCGTTTGTTAATCAATTTCTCGAAGATTTTGGAACATAATGGTAGCAAACTAATGGGTCTCTATGATGGATCTTTACACGCTTTAAAATATAAAATGATCTTTCTTTATTGGCTGTTTAATAGATATCTGAAGGCACTGATATGATTTTTAAATAAATAAATACTGTCATTTAAATTAATCAATTTTTACTATGCGCACTCATTATATTCTGCATAATTATAAGTTAAGTGTGGAAATGAAATTATTTTATTTCCATATAAACCTAGCACTTTGAACTTTGTACTCTATCTGTCTGTGCAGGTAGGAACATTGTACTTCCTCCTTAGTTCAGTCTAGGGATGGGATATTGAAGGCACAATATCGATATTAATATTGGCTTATAACTATCGATGCCACAAAACTATCGGACTTAAAATATCGATAGTCGATATTTTCATCGATTATATAAACATTTTTGAAATATGAATATCATTATAAATATAGATTCTCTAGCACGTAGGCGCATCAAAAAATGTGTTATTTTCCTCTTTAATTCGTCTTCTTTCCTTAGTAAAATTAATTTTCTAGTTCCTATCCATTTTCGTCATCCTCAGCTTTTTTCCAGAAACGTTCATTCAACCAATTGTGACTTTCATTCACTCGTACATCGGATTCAGCGAAATGTAAATTTATTTGCATCTTATATAGATTTCTTTGATAATTCGTGACCTTGGTTTGAGAAGGTTCTGACTAATATATTTGAGCAAATTAAGTTTATACTGAATGGGCACTATTCAACTCTACTTAAGGAGGCCATCCATAGTCAATATTATCGAAATATCGTTATTTTCCTCTTCAATGCTCTACATTCTATATAAAACAAGCAAGATGAGTATAACTTTTTTTTTTAACGATCAGATTTATATATAATTCCTCACGCTTTTCGAAAACGATAGTTATAATTTTAATTTTTAAATTAAAATATTGAAATATCTAAGAAACAGTATCGAAGTAGGTTATATTTTTATTAGTGAATTTGTTTTACAATTATTTTTACTATGTTATTATCTAAATTAATATAAAGTTAAATAAAGATAAATAATTGCAATTATATCTAATTTAATTAGAGTATGATTATTATTCCCTTCATAAGACTGTGATTGGATATACATAATTTTTTTAAATTTTCTAGATAAAGAAAATAAATAAAAAAATGGTTACTGTCATTTTTTAAAAATATTTTCTATTTTTATCGATTATCAAATAAATTATAAGAAAATATAGAGTATGAATATTATTTCCTTCATAAAACTGTGTTTGTGTAAAACAAATTGTTATTGTCATTTTTTAAAAGTATTTTCTTTTATAAGTACGTAATTTTTAATGTGTTTTCCCTTCATGTTTAATGAGGGAAGTTCATCAAAGTAGAGAACAAAATTAGTTTCTTTAGGTTCTGGGATTCTTAAGTGAACTGTGAACTAGCTAGTTCAAATGAACTACAACTGGCGCTATCTATTGTGACACGGACGAAACTAGATCAGTGAAACCATCACTCCAATTTAAATATATTTTAAGAAATAACAATCTGTATAATCGAATTCTGATCGATATTATTTAATAGATTTCATAATTAATTACCTATTTTTGGTGTATGTTTAGAATTTTAAAAATTAAAAGGAACGATATATTTCTGTCTTCATCCTTTGAAATATTAATATTCTTCAAAAATAATCTGTCCATGAATTTTCTTTAAGTATTTTAACTTACCTGATACTAAAAATAAGACAATGAACAAATTATTTTTAAGAAAATCAAATCCTTTTGTTTAATCCCTATTTCAGTGTAAGAACCATAGGCCTTGGCCTTCTCTTCAAATTTCCTAAAAACACCTACAATTCTTCTAATTTTATTATTGTGGTAGTTCAGGAAGAACTATATTTCACCAGAAGTAAGACCAGTCTTCACAGTTCCCAGTTCTTTTTCGTGAAATAGTTCATTTGAACTAGTTCGTTCAGGAACTAGCCATTACTAGGTTACACTGGTCAGCTTTATCCAGCTGCCCTCCCTCAACACCTGCTAGCTCACTTGTGTGCTCGCTAAATAACATTTTTTCTTATATTAATTCACATATATAATCCTTTGAAATATAATTAGTTTTCAAGTTATTATTCAAGCTAATAAAATAAAGTCGAAATATTTTCCCAATGCCTTAAATTTAATTCAAGTGCTTTAATTTTAGTTAAATTCCAAAGAATTTTTGTTATATATTTAAATTTAACAAAAAAAGGAGTTAAAAGTAAAAAAAATTCAGCATGTAAGTTTTTAGTTTATTACATATATGCCACAAAAAATGAGCAATATGGCCACCATATAGAATGGGTTAAAATGAATTGAATTGATTTTGTAACCAATATAATGAAAAGAATGACAACACTAAAATAAATCTTTCAAACAAAATAATTAAAAGGAATCAAAATATAAATTTACTAATTAACATTTGCTTAAGTGGAATGATAGGATATTAGTATTTCGGAACAACTTTCTCATATTTAATAATTATAAATTTTCAGAAAATAGTGTGAACAGACAAATGTATATGTATGATGATATATACAGAGTATCCCATAAGTAATAAATTTAATTTAATTTAGAAAATAAAATTGCTTCATAGAAAACTTGACAATATTTGCTTTAAATGCAAGTAGAGTTTGTTTTTGTTAGAACCATTTAAAGGAAACCATTTAAAGCAGCTAAACTATACTAAGTTCTGTTTTCCACAAAATCGTGAATTATTAGTGGAACATCAATTTTAAACCAATTTAAGGCTTGGAGGTGGGCAATTTAAATGCATCTTAAAAGGAATCTCATGTTATGGATAAATAAGATTCGTTCTCAGTATTCTGTGGCGGGAGTTACTAGAACTACCTAATTTGTTGGAATCTTATGGAAGCTGGTAAGGTATCTACTCATAGATCCTAAAGGAAATAAGATTATTTCTTATAACCTAGTTCATTTGTATTCATTAATTAATTTTTTTTCATAAAATTTGTATCCATTAGGTATTAAGAACACTCAACACGAGAGTATATTTGGAATAATAAATAATATCAAAATCGAATAACCAGATTAAAATTTAGAACAGAAAAAAGTTGAAAAATATAGTTTTTTGATACTGGTTTTTTCCTAAAGCTTTTGTCCATCTTCTCATGAAACTTCAGACAGGCAATAGAATCCTAAATCGTATTGAAGCTTATTGATTTTTCCAGTTTATCAATCAATAAAAACAATCTGTTAATTGAGGGAATCAATAATTTATGTTCCCAAGAAAATTTTATTACAGTTTTATTGTTAACTAAAATTAAAAAAAAAAGTCCAATATTATTAGACACTTAATAAAAACCTTTCAGATAGATCATATGATCAAATCTTTATAAATACTATGTATCCTTCGAATGGCGAAAAAAAAGAAATTTTATGTCTCTTTTGTTCAATCATTACAGGACATTTTACAGAAAATAAAAACTATTAAGAAAAGAAAAATTCTATTGAGCAGAACAAGAGGGAGATTGATCATACCTTCGCAGGTTCTTTGTTGTTGGAAATTCAAAGTAGAAATGCTGGTATCTTTTTGTCTGCATTTATCCAGAACATGCTGCATAAATATTTGGAAAAATAAACAATAGTGTTTTACATCTGTTAGCGAAAAGTGTTTATGTAGCCAACAAAGCCACTTCCCACTTACTCATTACATTTAAATTATATAAATTTAGTGTTGAGTATAACCTGAGGACATTCTGAATTTCAATTTTAAATTTAAGTTGGAAAATTTGATTCTGACTTGTACCCCTTCATATTAATGATAATTAATTATTAAGGAGGATGATAGAGACATGGACTTCTTTCTTGTTTTTCTTTTTGGATAAGATCTAGTGTTAACTTTTTTCCCCTTAGAAAATGTCCCCTTTGTTGAGAAAAACCCATATCGCTTAAATAAAATAAAATGCAGAGAAAGGAACATGGATAAAAGACAAATGGTATTTTTAACTATAGATATCAGCCTTTTATTACTCTGTTGAACAGGTTGCTATATATTCTAATTAGTGAACAATTTCAATTTCATTACATTTATTTCTTATAGATAATTAAAATATGGCAAGTGAAGTGTATCTATTATTATGAACATAAACTAACAATTTTCAGAAAAGGATGGATGGAAATATATTGTTAAAACAATTTTTCAAATATTATATCTGAAAAAAAATTGAGCTTTTCAAATTTTATAGAATAAATATTGAAGATTGCCACTCAAGGTGATGCTAAAAATGATAAATAAATTAACATTAATATATATTATATTATTTGGACATCTTTTTAATCATAAATCTCAGAAATATAACAATATAAAACTAATTATGAAAATATTTATACGTATCTACACATAAAGACATACTTCCCTATATAAATATATAATAATAAATATCACGGAGTTTTTAGTTGAACTACAACAGATTAAACAGTTTCTGATGCAGCAATTCCAATTAACAACTATCAGACCCCCCTTTGTTTCATTTTGAATAAAAAACTTTAAATTGAAAATAAATTGCCAGAATTTAATTTAATAAGTTGATTTAATATTTAATAAGAAACTCAATATGAGTCATTAAGAACCACATTTAGACTCAAATCATAAATATAATATAACAGATAGAACAATGAAAATCTATTTTCAAAGAATTAGTTATAAAATATCTTTACGGGGTCAATGTATTCAAAATACAATTATCAGCCTTAATAGTATTAATATAAAAATATTTATCATAAATTCAAAACTATGACAAAAGTATCTACAAAACAAATAAAAAAATATTTCAGTGGAACACTACTAAATTAATCAGTTTTAACATTCTGTTCCAGCCAGCATATTGATACATTTGAACCAAATTATTCAGTCTGGAAATGTTACAAATCCATTATTAATTTATATACAATATCCACAATAAATTAAAATAATAATAATAATTTTTAGCCAGTTTGCATGATTGTCTGCAATGTCGTCCAAGAAGACTCCCAGAAATTACAAAGACGATTTCCATCATTGGAACAGAATGCTCTAAAGTCTGCTAGCAATTTGTTTTGAAACGCCTCATCACCTATTGCGTTTGTTGACCCTGATCTCCACCTCCGGCTTACCATATGGTTCCATGACCACAAAAAGCCAATCTAAAGGAAATCATTTTTTGTTTTTAATAAGCAACAGAAAAATTAAAAACATTTTAGAATATCATAACTTACAGATAAATATAATTTTTGACACAGATAAATACTATGAAAATAGGCTGCAAAATCTATATAAAATCTCTATTTTTTCTTGTGGAAAGGTTTGCATCAGAAAAGAAAAGTCAGCTCTAAGTATTTAAAGTTAACAAAAAACTGACAAACAATATGCATACGTGAATGTCAGTAAAACAGATCTATGACCAACTAACAAATCTAATAGAACAAAAATAAAACCTCTTTGATACTGTAATATTCAAAGAGAGTTCAAAGACAAAAGAGATCAATTTCATTATTTATACTAATTAATGGATAAGAAGAATGTCTGGATTGCAAGGTACTAAAAAAAAACCTGTATTTCTTAAAAGAAAAAAGTGCAGATTTTTTTTGTGCTTTATGAGAAAAATATAAGTGCTCAAAAATTCTGACCACCCATGGGATATTGATAATGTACCAATAAACCAGGGCTGGTCACCTTTCAAGAAAATAATCTTTTATGTTTCTAGACTGATATATGGAGAGAAAAGGGCGGGATCTGGATTTAAAATAAGTCTGTGTTGGACTGATGATCTGAAGATGAAGATTCAAGAAAATAGGAAACCATAGAGAGACTTCCTTAGCCAGAGAATAACCTGTAGCCTTATGGGATGTACGAGGAAAGAATGAAGGAGGCCAAGATAAAAGTTCTTCAAGCCAGAGAAAAATCATAGGAAGATTTTGGTCACAAAATGGAGAAAAATGCAAATGAGAACCAAATGATCTCATAAAAAGTCATAAAAGGAATGAAGAAGCAAAGGCTGAATTTTCTCAAAGTAATCTAGGATAAAAAATGAAGGATTTTACAGCAGGAAGAAGATATAATGGAAAGATGGAGATAGTACTTCAAGGAACTACTGGAAGATGTTATACCTGATGAGGCCCACAATGCGGGTGTGGAGTATTCAGAAGACAATTTTATCAGCTAGGAGGCATTCAGGAATCAAGGTCTGGAATGGAGCAGAGGGAGAGAGCTGGTACAGGAGAGGATTATGATGATAATAATTATTTAATTAAAAATTGATTGCAATTATTTTATATTACGTTTGAGAAGAACTTAGTCAGGGGTGTGGTCAATATATAATACTATATTATATATTATTATTTTTTATTGTATTTCCCAACATTTCCAGCTACAACGTAACCCGACTAACTTCTCAAATAATAACTACAGTCAATCATATCCACACTATTTTGTATTACATTGACTATTTTGCCAACTTATTTTTAGTTGGGGTTTCAGAATATATATTTGTATGAGAAAAAAATAAATGCTGAATAATAAGAGCTCTGAATAAGGTGAGTTACTTAATAGCAATTCAAATGGATGCATCAATGGATTAGAGCCCTGGACTCTCAGATTATTAAAAAAAAATTGTTCTATATATCATAATTAGTTGATTTTTCAAAATTATTTCATTCAGTAAATTGTTTTCTAATCTGTACAATACTCTATTAATCTATATTGTTATTTAATTTACTTTCAAAGTTTAAAGTTGGAGAAATAATTCTAAAAAAATAAAATGACATACCCGTGCTTCATAAGCATGCGATTGAGGCCCAACGTGCCTGGTTATATACTCATGGTGGGGACTAGTGCCTTCTGTTACCACCGCATGCCTTCTCACTGGCCTACTCCGAGGAATAGGGCTCTGGCGGCTATGTTCACATGGTACGGAAGGTATCAAAAGAAAGATGTTTCCTGTGATTAAAGTAATAATTATGTTTTAAGATTTATTTTAAATATAAAGGGAAGTAACCTAATATGAGGGAATAAGTCAATCTATTCAATGTTTCTTTGAACAAAATTAAAAAAATATATGGAAAACAAGATACCTGAAAGGTGGATATACTGGTTATGCTGATGAGAACCTTCAACTGAACAAGCAAAGAATCCAAAATTAATCGCAATTGCTTCCTGAAAAAGTACTAATCTGGTAGGCCAGGATTCTTCTTCAAATTCTGCAAAGATTATATTATTGTTATATTAACTCATCAATTAAATTGCTGGAACCTCTATTGGAATGACAAATAAATAATTCCTCAAAACTTAAATTGTTTTAATAACGAGTAATGCACAGAAAACTTCCTTTGTGAAATGTAATTAGTATATTTGTTAGATTTACACGTTAATGTTTTGAGGATATTTTTCCATCTGAACTTCTGGTGGTATTTCATTACAATTCTTTTCTATTTTGTTTGTACATTCCTTAGTCAGTGACATATTTTTCCATTTTTTGACATTAACATTATAGATAGATAGATAGATAGATAGAAAAAAAAACTTTATTCTGGGACTAAGTCCCTTCAGAATAACAATAATGTACAAAATAATAGAATATTACTGGCCTAAACGTTTGAAACAATAAATAAAATTGATAAAATAAAATAAAAAGTAAAGAAAACCTTAGGTGCACAAGCTATATACAATACAGATAAGACTATGTACAGAGCATTTAAAATTATGAACAAAACAATTAAAACTATGAACGAATCACTTAAACTATGAGCAAAATTATATATAAGGGTTGAACAACATAAACATACCCTTTGAGAAATGAAGAACGAAAAAGAGATACAATGAGTTCATTTCATAAAATAAAAAAAAAAAACTTTACTTGAAAATCTATTAAATCTAATCTAAAATCTATAGATTATATGGGGCAACTTGTCTACTGATTGGCCTTCTTTATCGGAAAGTAAAAATATGTGACAAGTATACTAATTACATGTCACAAAGGAAGTTTTCTTTGCCAAACTCATAATTAATAACCCAAAATTCCCAATTAAAGAAGAAAAAGAAGAAATTTTTTTTTTCAGATCAAAATATTGCTTATTTGTTATCTGCAAACATGTATTAATAAGATTTATCATTTTAGACTTGATGGGAAATTCTTACATGTCTCTATGATTCATGGTAAGTAATAACATCACTATGCCAAAGAGGGAAATTTTAAATTGCTAATAGTTTTTACAATTAATAACAAGAAAAACTGGGAACTAAAAATAAAGATCTTCACATAAATCTAATCTAAAATCATAATAATAATAAATATTAGCATTATTTTTATATATTTTTTATTTATTTAAAGGAACTGCTTTATTTTAACGTTTTTTATATTGCTAGTGTTAGTGCAAAGATATAAAAAATTGAGTGTTTTTTTACAGATCATAAGAACCGATTAATTCTTTATGATTTATTAGTATAATTTATTTACTACTGTTATTTTCCTATTACAACTATTTTCTATTTACAAAAGTTGCAGACAACAAAATTTCATCTTTAGTACAAAGAGAATAAACGGGTAAAATTGTTACATGAACAATAGTGATATACTCCTTGCCGAGTTATAAAAAAAATAAAGCAGAAATTAAAATTACTTTTAAATATCTGACTTAATAAACTAGTTTTTTATTTTTATTTTTTTTTTGTGGCAAAATGCAGAACAGCCAAGAAGTCCACAAATGGTCCACTTAATATTGGATTATTTTAATTATACAAGTATAATAAACTAGTTATTTTCTCCCATAAATAAAATCTTTCTAAGATTGTGATTCAATATTAATTTGTCTTTAAATAAATATTAAATTTGGTACATTCTTTTTTTAAATAAGAAAAGTAAATATGAACTAGAATTCACAATATCCACTTCTGAACGAGAAACTGACATCAAATTAAGGAACATTGCTACTTTAGATTACAAAAAATATACAAGCTTGGCAAAGATAATCTAGAAATTTATAAGTATTCAATAGTAAGAAAATATGCAGAAATACTGTTTATGTATGATATTTATAATAATATTTTTTTAAAAGAACTGTTTGTATTGATAGTTATGAAACATTTAAAATTGAGGTTTACCTTCAAATAAATAACTTTTACTTCCCATCAGACACTCGGTCTCCAACGGAACAAAGATGGGTCCCCTCAAAGGATCAGATTTGAGCGAGTAAGGAAGAGCAAATGGATCAGCTGGCACCGGGACCATTTGTAATCCACAAGTTTGTGCTTTTCTCGCCCAGCCAAGAACCTTTGATAACATTTTTAATATTAAATATAAAATTTTTAATACAAAATATAAAGTGGTCAATAGAAGAAAAAACAGGATAAAAAGTAGATATCAATTTTGAAATACAAGAAACCACTTTGGTCAAATAGTCTGTGACCAAATATGTGATTTTGTTCTTTCCATTCAAAACCGTCGGAAATAGACCAGCATATAACAATCCTAAACAGAGCTTTCTTCTCCCTTTCAAAGGTAATGAAATCCCAAAAAATCTGAAGAAAGCTCAAAAGAAGGGTGTTCATTGCTAAGATAAAGCCAGTTCTGATATACGGCTGAAAGACCTGGACATTTACCAACTCCATAGAAATAAGTATTGAAAGATTTGAGAGAAAAATCTTTGCAAGAGTGATCTGCAATCAGGGTACTAATGCATGGAGGAAAGGACCAATGAAGAACTGCTTGGGTACATATATTTAAGCATTTCAATAGCTATTTAAAATCCAGTATGCCTGGTTTTTCAATCTCTTCGGACCAACGTTCTCAGTGTGGTCCATGGGATTCTTTGAGGAATTTCCTTTTTACTGCTCTTATATTTTTTTTTGTGTGTATTTCTTAGCAGCTGTATAATCATGCAGGATAGCTTGCTTATTTTTGGCTAGGCAGAGAATTTTTGTTTTTCTTCTTTACTCTACTACCTTTTAGCATGCTTCTTCTGTGAACCACTTCTTAGGTTTTTGTTCCTGATGAATACCTACTACTTCTTCAGTAGGTTCTTTTAGCCATATCTCTATAAGCTACCAATGTTGGTCCACAGTGAGGCTATCTGAGTCCAAGGATTGTTATTAGAATTATCCTATTATAGAGGGGTTATAATTATATTTCTATGTCAAGTATAAATATATATACGATACCAAACAATTTTAGTTATAGTCCTAGAATACACAAACAGTAAATAACTCACCAAATCAGCAACAATGGCCCCAGAAGCTGCAGCCCATTTTATTACCATTTCATAAGCTAGGTCGGGCCTATAACAGGTATGGTATTTCACATGACCCCATTCAACTCTGTCACTTTTGCCGTTGATATCAATCTCAAGGTGACTCTCTTTATACAGTGGACCTGTAAGGAATAATCGTAATGATTTTTTTTAAGAATTATAATTCTAAATGAATAAAGACAGGAGACCAGAGTCATTTTAATTCATGCTTCTTAAAGCTAAATAAGAATTTGAATGAAGGTACATACACCACTAGTGGATCTAGGATTTAATTTTGGGGGCTTCAGCCTGAAAGCTTTTGTTTTCATATACATAACGATTACACTGGGCAACAATGAAAATATTTCAGGCTCAAAAATAGTCAATTCATATGTATTTCCATCTGCTGAATTAAAAATTCACCATAAAAATGACAGAATAGCTCTTGCTTTAGAGATAAATTGGTATTTCATTTTTTAGAGTAAACATTTTCTATTTGGAGGACATTTTTTTTTTTTTTGGGAGTTGGTACACCTGTCAAATAACAAAACACAAATGCTCTTCAGCTGTTTGTAAGTCATGAACATAGTTACTGTTGTTGCGACTGTGAGTTGCATAGTTTCTGCTGTAATTAGTGCAGAATTTCTGGTTCTTTTTTAGTGAAAAATTAGTAAAAATGATACCAAAATGTGTAAATATGGTGAATATTTTTTGTTAATTTGTGGTGAAATAACATTTTGCTCACAGAAACACAATCTGAAGCCTCTTGGTAAGACTGCCTATCAGCATTATTTTGATATGAAAGTAGGGGACCAGGATAAGTCTTGAGCACCACATATATGTTGCAACGCATGTTCAGTTACACTGCGAGAATGGATGAGAAAGAGGAAACGATCTATAACTTTGGTTTGGCAGGAGTCTACAAACCATACAGATGACTGCTATTTCTGCTTGGACCCACCTATAAAGGCAGGAATAAGAATCTTTGATCTGCTATTCAACCCATTCTGCATTCAAATAGTTTACCAGTTCCTACTCGACCCGAAAATTGTGTGTTTGGAGTAGAAAATGAAGACAGTGCGGAACAAGAAGAAGAACCGAACAAGCCTTTCATATCCCGTGACCCTGATTTTGAGGGAAAAGACGATAAACGGCACAGACTGAGTCAAGCGGAATTGAGTGATCACATTAGAGACCTTGGCCTGTCAGAGGAGAAGGCAGAAATTCTTAGGTCTCGACTACAGTAATGGAATCTTCTTGAAAGTGATGTCAGAATGTCAGAACAGTACAGAAAACGTCACAAGGAACTACTTCCCTTTTTTTAGAAGAAAAATAATCTTGTTTGCTGCAACAATGGGTAATAATAATACAACAATGCGTATAATCCGCGACGCTGCTCGTAGACCCTTCAGACGTACTAGGCTTGCAGATGACTACCAAGCGTTCAGGGTGCTTCGCAACTTGACACAAACAAGGATCCGGCGTGCGAAATCCCTCTACTTCCACGAAGCCCTTTCCTCAACTCCTGACAAAAAATCAAAATGGCGACTGCTTCGTAAACTCTCCCTTTGTGATCCTTCCAGATCCCCTACAACAGCCTTTCCAATATCCCCTGATGATCTAAACTCGCATTTTATATCTGTTGCTAATACCTCTCCTTTATCCTCCTGTTCCGGCTTTCCTATAGAGATACCATTTGACGACAATAACTTTTATTTTTCCGACATTTCTCCCACAGACCTTTTAACCACTGTAATGAAATCCCACACCAATTCCATAGGACCCGATGGCATTCCTCTCAAATTAATAAAATTATGTTTTCCTGAAATCCTCCCAGTTCTTCTTTTCATCTACAATTTCTCCCTTCAGAATTCAGTATTCCCTACATCTTGGAAAAAAGCCATTGTCCTTCCTTTGAATAAAAATTCTAATCCGACCTCACCCGAAGATTTCCGCCCAATCTCAATTCTTTCCAACCTCTCAAAACCCCTAGAAAGATTGGTGCAATCCCAAGTCTCCAACTTCCTCGAAAAGTCCAACCAACTTGATCCTCTCCAATCTGGTTTCCGTCCCAGCTACTCCACACAATCCGCCTTAATTAAAATCACCAGCGACATTCAAACTGCAATAGATGATAAAAAGTTAACAATCCTTATCCTTCTCGACTTCTCCAAAGCCTTTGATTCCATCAACCATTCTACCCTTTTCAACAAACTGAAATTATTATCCTTCTCTAATAGTTCCATCTCTTGGTTTCAATCTTTCCGTACCCAAGCAGTCTCCATACCCAACCAACCACTATCTGCTTTCCTTTCTTTATCCTCTGGAGTTGCCCAGGGTTCAAGCATATCTCCTCTCCTTTTCAGCTCCTACATTAACGACCTATCTAAATCAATTCTCCATTGTTCCCATCACCTTTAAGCAGACGATTCACAGATGTACCTATCATTTTTCCCTCCTGAGTTACTGGGGGCATTTGCCAAGATCCAAGAAGACCTACATCGAATCAGTGCCTGGGCAAATGTAAATGGATTACAGTTAAATGCTGCCAAAACTCAGGCCATTGTCATTGGTTCCAAGCCCCTCCTTAGATCCTATACAGACTTTCCCATCCTTCACCTTAATGATCAGCCAATCTCCTTCTACTCCTCTGTTAAAAATTTAGGATTTTTCATTGATCAAAACCTCTTTTGGAATCACCATATTTCTCATATCACTCGACGGACAATTTCCACCCTCAAATTATTCCATCGCTTCCGCCATCTCCTACCTCAACATACGCGTAGACTCCTAGTTTCCTCTCTCATTTTCCCCCACTTTGACTATAGCTGTGTGGTGTATGATGGCCTCTCTGTGGAGCTCCGTGATAGACTGAAAAGACTAATGAACAGCTGCGTAAGATTTGTGATCGGGGCCCCAAGATACTCCCATGTTTCTCACCACTACGCTGAGTTAAAGTGGCTTTTCCTCTCCTTCTGAAGACAATATTTCCTAGGTACGTTCCTCTACCAAATCATCAACAACCATCGTCCTTCTTACGCCTACAACCTTCTCCAGTTCAAATCCTCAGTCCATTCCCTGTCCACAAGATCTCGACCTTCTAACCTTTACATGCCTTCTCACAGATCTGCCTCATTCCAAAATTCCTTTATTGTTCGCTCTGTCAATTTCTGGAATTCCCTCCCTATCAAAATTCGACATTCCCCATCCATATCCACATTCAAAACCTCCTATTCCAATTCCTATCCCAAAAACAGTCAGATAGTTGCTAACCATTCGAGCTGATTTTAATAGAGAATTTGATACATTTTTATTTTTTAATTCTTTATTTTTCTCGTAAAAGTGTATACTGGTCTATAAGAGCAAACAGCTTTAAGTGTCTTGTCATAGTATTAATGGTTTTATATATAGTTTAGTTTGTTTTGTATATAGAATTTTTACCTTATATTTTTTTTTACATTATTTCTTTTTTTCGATTGATTTTATTTTGGCCAGATGTAATATATTAGTTTTGTTCTATTCTGTTATTCTCAAGGGACTGTGTCCCAGAATAAAGTTATTTTTCTATTTCTATTTATATATTCATCCTTAGCTTAGTTTTAAAGCTGTGTTACTTCACAATGGCAACCTTCTCTCTTCTATTTCTGTTGGTCATGCAGTTCACATGATGGAGACATATGCAAATATGACAGCCCCCTTGGACTCATTCAAATATTATGAACACAAATGGAAAATCTGTGGTGATCTAAAAGTCATTGCCATACTTTTGGGAATGCAACTGGGGTACACAAAACATTGTTGCTTCTTATACATGTGGGACAGTAGAGATAGGAAATTTCATCATATTAAAGGAGGCTGGCCTGCAAGAAATCTTAACTCTAGCGAGAAAAATGTTGTTGCCAAGCCTCTCGTGGACCCAAAAGATATTCTACTTTCACCCCTCCATATCAAGCTGGGTTTGATGAAAAATTTTGTCAAAGGTATGAACCAAGAAGTTATGCGAAGCAAAAATTAAGGAAGGCATTTTTGACGGGCCACAAATTCAGGTACTTGTGAAGGATCCTGCATTTGACCAAGTTTCGGAAGGGAAAGAAAACAAAGCTTCGGAAGCCTTCAAGGAAGGCTATGGATTTTTAGGCAACAAAAGAGATGACAACTACACACATTTGGTGACAGCGCTTCTGCATAAGTAACATAACCTTGGATCCAACATGTCCCTTAAAATCTATTTTCTCCTCTCCCCCCTAGACCTTTTCCGTCCTAGTTGTGGAGCTGTTAATGATGAACACGGAGAAAAATTCCATCAAGACATTTCTGTTATGGAAAAAAAGATATTAGGGCCACTGGAATGAAGCAATGCTTGCAGATTACTGTGGGTCTTTGTGTAGGGATGCTCCAGAACTCCCTTACAAGAGGCAAGCTAAAAGACGAGGATCTCATGAGCCCACCACATAATCTCTTCAGACCCGACCATCTGCAAGGAATAATTCCAGCAATTTAGAACTCTTAGAACGTAACTACCATTTTGAAAAATCAAGTGCACTTTCAATGTTGTTAGCATATATAATTAAAATGTATCTTCTTCTTTTAACCCATTGGTATGAAATACATCCACCTAGTGTATATCACAGAAACTAGAGTTAAGAAAAATCTTTCATTGTAATATTCGTGTTTCTCAACCCGAAATTAGTAAGAATTGACTCATGAAGTGCTGGAAACATTCAAAAATTTGTTTTTGTTGCCAAGTGTAATTAATTTGAAAAAAAAAATAAAGAAACTAACTACCTATATGACATGGTGTTTAAGTGATTCTTGAAGTCCTATTAAATGTAATTACACGAACAATAATACTTTAAGGGATAGTTTTTAATATTTTTTTCTATAAAACATGGTTATATTTTACCATTTTGGGAGGTGGGGAGGGGGCTTCAGCCTGAACGCCTCCTCCCCCTCTCCCCCGTAGATCCGCCTGTGGTACACACTAATCCTAAACATCTCAAAAATAGGATTGTCTCAAACAACATTATTTCAACATAGATTATTGTTGAGGATTTCATTTAAATAAAAATGATTCCATGAATTTTAATAAAATTAAGTTCACTACTCATGGAAAAAAAGAAAAGAAATATTTTTATCAGGACTCAAAATTAGAAAATACAATATTATATCACAAAAATGAGATATGGATAGAACTATGAAAGTAAGAGAAGCTAAAGGGTAGAAAGTAATTCTCTTATTTGCATAGTTCCATCTATATAACTAGTCGCTGCTTTTGACAGATCTTTCATTATTCGATCCACATCCCTATGAAATTCTATCCCATCCTACATCCGTAGCTCCACCCTTTAAATCCTGCCTGTTCAATTACCTCTTATCCGTTCAGCTCTCATAAAATTGTAAATAGATATTGTAAATATATATATATAAACAATTAGTTTGTTTTAAATACTTTATTTCATTTTTTAAAGATTGAAATTTAAGATTCAAATAAAGATTGAAAAGGTAAATAATATTCTTTTCTTTTATTTATTCATTATATAAATCTGTTTATTTTGTAATTATTCTCTGAGGCTCCTATGCCCCCATTTTTATCTCTATACATTATTCTAAAGGGTCTTGTCCCAGAATAAATTAAGTGTTATTATTATTATTATATCTCATTTTTATGATGTATTTTTTTAATTTCTAGTCCTGATTATTATCCACATGCTAGGATTAAAACATTACAAAACTTAATATCCAATATGAATGACTGTATGTCTTCATTATTAGTTATCACTTAAATTGAAGAGAAGTATAGTTGGGGCGTTCAGTCAAATTGAAATGGTAAAAAATGTAAAAAAATAAATAATTATATTTTTTACCATTTCAATTTGACTGAACACTCCAACCATACTTCTCTTCAATTTAAATGATAAGTAATAATCCTTCTCTTCAATTATTCACTACAATCAACCATAAACCCACAATTATCATTTAAATTTTATGTTATTTTCTCCTAAAAATATAAATTTTACTTCAAGCGCAATAGCCTCTGTAATATTTATAAATAAATAAAATTTACCTTTGTAATCAATTTGAGAGCATGCAGGGCGCAGCCTTTTCATTAAGAATGCTGGTCCTTTCAGAATCTCGGCAGGAGGCTTCACCTCAACTTCAAGCCATTCATTCTCAAATCCTTGGAGATCACCAACTGGGTCACCTTCACCTTAGAAAATGGTTATCAGTCGAACAAATTATATCAATAAAATTAATTATTTCTGTCTTCATTTTATAACGGGAACAAAAATCTTCTGTTAAGTTATAAATGGGAAATTTTTATTGATAATTTCACAACATAGAATTACCTTTTGAATCATCTTTATTGGCTTTTACAATATGATACAAATAAAATCCGTATATAAAAGGTAGTCCGAAATCTCCTGAAGCATGACAAATAAGTTTTTCATTCAATATTTCCTATAAAAAAAGTTAACTGAATTAATTTCAGCAGAGAAATTAACAAACCAATCACTGGAATAAACTCACCTGCAAGATGCTAGATGCCTGTTGCTGGTTAGAAACTCCCTCTAAATGAGCTATGAGCCACTGGACTGCATCGGCACTCACAAAAGTATTAGACGGAAAGCTAGGATGAGTATTGAGAAAACTGATCCCGGAATGAGGGTTCTTCAATGCTTCCACTATTTCATGATAAGGTGTACCTTCTTTCAGCACGACACACTGAGATCTGAAATTCCATAAGTATTTAACTCCTGTATTCAACATAATTCTCTGGAAATATAAAATTAAAAAAGAGTAAACTATCTTACGCTTCCTGATCATATTCTGCATGCTCAATATCAGAAACAAGAGGGATTATTGTATCTATTGCAGGAGAAGCCCGTCCTCTATCCATTACTTTTGAGCCAGATCTAAAATAATAAATTGAAAAGTAATTAGATTTAAACAAATGTAATATTTATTTTTTAAATACTGATGATCGAAACAAAATAAATTTAATACTAATATAAATTGAATAATTCATGCAATCTGAGTGAAATATAGTAAAACAAGGTATAAATTATAATTAAAAAAAAAGTAAAATTCAAGAAATTTAACTTCATCATAAAAATAATTGCTTTAAAAATAAACAAATTTCAATAAGGTTTCAGTTATTAAGTTATTGACTTATTTAATAAGTTGAACATGCAAAGAAATATTTGAAGTAACTATAATTATATGGGATATAAAAAGTTAAATTAATTTTAGCTTATCAATGTTATTTCAAGAAGCTGAAAAAGAAAAAAAAAATTGTAACAAATATGTCAAAGATGGAATAGTCTGCTAATTAATATGGCTTTCTCTTCCTTAGCAAATAGCAATGCTGCACCTAAACCCAACTTATTCAAGTTATTTATTGGAACCTTTGATAGTTGAAATAAATGTATGAACTTAAAGATTTTTACTTTCCTTTTTTGCAATAGTTTTCTTGCTATTCATTAAATTAACTTGCTCAAGATGGGGAATATGTATTTTTTTTTGCATCTTCAAACTTTGCTATCTTAAATAGCTAGATCGCAAGTTGGACATCTATCCAAGAAGCTTTCAAGTATTTCTGTTTAAACAATCAGAGTTATTAATATTAATTAGGGAATTGAAGAGGATTTTCGGATAATCCAGTAAGATTTAAGATGGAGAATCTGAACTCCTAGGTGGAACGTTGCTTAACTGATTTATTTTTCATAGATTTTAAGCAGTAAAAATTTGGATTGTATGGTACAAATATTCATATTATAAGAACTCATATTTAATACAGTTAGACTTACTTAGTAATTCATGACTGCAATAGTTACTTATTGTTTATAGAAGTATCAAGATAGAAAGTTTTAAAATCATTATTATGCAGAAAAGCAGGTTATTTTTATTTTAGTTTTCAAACAAACCATTTGTTTTAATTTTTTTAAAAGTCATTTATAAAACAATAAAATCTGCCTGATTTTAAAATCTACCTCTAGGTTCGCTATTTTTCTAATTCGCTCCAAATAGCATAGCGGTTACTCATTGGCTTAATTGCTATTCATGATAGTATAATGAGCTTAGCTGGCAGAACAGGTTTCATGTAAGCTTTTCCACAATAGTTATATGTTGGTTTTTCTCAATATTATGATCATTTGTTGGGATATTGCAGAGCTGAAGTATTTCTAATTGTGTGATTCTTTCGATCTTTGCCAATCATGTCATTTACATGTGTTTAAACACATTTATTCAAGATTAACAATGTATACACTAATGATTAATAACGTATAAACTAATGGAATGTAAATATATAAATGAACAAATATCAGCTTTTTGTCATTCATTTAGAGTATGATTGAAATGATGTTTTATTTATCAACAACACAAATTTCATTCCATTAATATGTTTCATTCAAGTATCTCATTAATGATTTTAAACTATTTGTGTACTTTGCAAAACTATAGACCACATAAACTATCTAGATTCTACTATATAAATAATGAATAACAACAAAAGTACATTCTAGTGTCATTTGTACAGTGGGGTGTTATAAAACTGAATACAAAAGAAAATTGAAATTAGCAAACTTAATGATAGATCCATTACAAAATTTTAATGATAAAAAGTATTACAAAATATTTAACTTTACCCTTCACCAAAATTAATGTTAGCACAAAATAAAGCAAAAGCATTAAAATTATGCACAAATTATACTCACCGAATAGGTGAACTAAACTTATCACGACGCATATAAAGACCTTGTTTGTCCTGTTAGAAACAGAGTTTTCAAAACCATAGTGTGAGATAAAGCAAATGAAAACCAGATTATTAGATAAGTAAGGAAAATATAGCCTATGATTAAAGTAAACAATCACCTATTCCTAACCAATAACTAAGCAAGCATATAAAATTGAAGTATTAACTTTCAACTTAACTAGAATATAATAAAAGTGAGAAAATACTCAATATTATCAGCATAAAATGGTAATTTGATTGGTTATGAAAGCCACACACAACCTCAAACTATACGTACATGGAAGCGTTAATCAAACCATATATCATGCATATTTATAAAATAATGCAAAAAAAAAACAAAAAAAAATCATGTCACACTTTCTAAACAAACCTCGGCCTTGGTTTTTCTGGTAACCTATTACTTCCAAGTCTTTCTCGAAAAGGTGAATTGCCGACAACACTGCTCTGAAATGTTCATAATCTGTTTAGGCAATAGTTTTTTTAATTTATTTTCATAATTAATAATGATCACATTCCTACTTATTAATGTATTTAAAAATAAAATAAAATTGTATGGAAGAGGCTATGAGAAGTTATCATGCATATCTGTGACTATAGGTAATACATTACTTCCGCGCTATAACTAAGTTACTCATAATCCAAATCTTAAGCATGCACTTTCTAGAAAAGGCTGTCTAAACAAATCAAAATCAACTAAAAAAAGCGGACTATGAAAAGTACTATTGTTACTAATGAGTGGAAATATCGTATGAATAAAATCATCGAAGAAGAAAATAATAGGAAAAATAAGTCATAGAAAACTAAAATGTTGGTATACTCCATGTTCGAAATCTTAAAATAACAAAACTATGAAAGTACAGAAAATCTGTTGCTCCAGATTCCTTCAGATTTGTATTTTAAAACTGATGATATAAATACACAAATAAAAAGATTTATTTAAATTTGTATAAGATTATAAAAAACAAACTAAAAGTTTTATAAATTAATTTATATTACATACGGATAACTTAAAGAATTTGTATCCATCATGGACTCACCGAAATATTTTTACAGATTTCATATGAATTAAGGATTTTTACAGCACTATATTATAAAGTCTAATTTAACTGATGAAGAATATAGCGTGACAATAGAGAAATAAAGGAACATGTAACGGAACATTCTCTATATTATGTCAGCTATAGAACAAATCATAGTATAAAGATTATTTTTACATTATTATTATTTTTAATAATAATGAATTCAGTATTAACCAAATTTATATTAAAAGTAGAATTAAACTGAGAGAGCAGGGAAGAAAATACAGAAGTTTACTAAGAGAAGAAACCATCTTGTTTTGCTTCTGAATAAACATTGCAAATATTCTCATACACACCTTTTCCCAGAACAAGGAACTTATATCTTTATCAGGTATAGTGAACCATGAGATATAAAAGTAAGTTTTCACTGTTTTATTCTTTATAAGATAAATAATAGTAATAAAAATAGCACCGACATTCTTAGAAAGCCTTAAACATATATTTATAGAAAATAGATGAATCTACAATTATATCATATCATATGAGCGGCTTCTTATCAAAAGTTATAGCAAAGAAATATTCCACAATCCTACTAAGAGCTGAGTGCACAGTCTTACAGTACATTAACCCTACCAACTAGAGCCGATTTTTCTCAGTATGTTAGATGTAGTTGTGTTTTTCAGTCTATTGTAATATTTTTCAGTTAATTAACTTTTTACAAAAACTCTCAGTGGTTCAGACCATTTAACTAAAGATGGACATCTATCATTATCAGAAAGAAGAGGAAAACTTAATGTTTGTGTATATTTAGTTACTTTGGTAAAAAGTTAAGTTGAATAAATAGTGAAATTATAATGGTTTATTTATCCTTAGAGCAGGGGTTCCCAACCTTTTTTCAGCAGCGGGCACATATATAGGTTATGGCTTGAGTGGCGGGCATCGTGTTTTTTTTCATTGTAAATTACAGGTAGGTTACTGTTTATAAATTTAAAAAAAAATTTAAATGGTATTAATAAAAAAAAAAGAAATAAAAAATAAAAATATGTATACATATTTTTTTTTTTCAGTTGGTGCTACAGACCATGAAGATCTTTGGCGTAGATACAGACGTATATTACTTGCAGGAGCACAGATAGCCTGGAGGCGGTCACCCAACCTCATGTTGCTAATGACCATGGTCTCCATGATGCAGCGGCAGGCAATCCGTAGCTCTATAGGCGGTCCCTTTGGGGCCAATCTGGCAGTGTCCTTCCCACCGACTCACTTGGGTTCAAGGACAGTGACTAATTGGTCTAGATCCATGGATTATGGTTGCTCCGAGTCAGCAGGCGCACGAGGACCTATATTTCTTTCTCTGAAACAGACAGTCCATGGACAGAAACTCAGGGGGGTTCCCGGTTTAAGTACTCGGAGTAGGGTTATCAGTCCTATACCCGGTCGGTGTGAGTTGCCTGCAGTAGGCTGACGGGCCTCATCTACCCTCAATAACCCGGGGGGAGGGGAGGAGAGAGAGAGAGAGAGACTTGGGCAGTATGGCTTTCTCTAATGGACGGTCACCCATCCAAGTACTAACCATGCTCGATGTTGCTTAACTTTTATTACCTATGGCAAGCGCCTTAGCCCTTATGGCTATCCCGGCCCCACAAATATATATATATATACGTATAGTAGCAGACATCTTCATCATTTCTAAAACTAATGAAATATATTTCTATAGAAAAGGCAAAAACACCAAATGCAATGATTGTATTAATTTTATATAGTTTTCTAATATTAAATTAACACCTTTTCAAATTACAATTGAAAATTAATTAAAAGTGTCAAGGACTACAACAAGTTATAAAAGGAGTTAAATGCAATGCTACTAACAGTTTCATTCATTTATTTTACTACCAAAGAAAGAGATTAATCAAAACAATAGTAATGATATTATATCGATAAATAAATTATTATTGAATTTTATATCTATAAACTCTTTTTAGATTTTTAAATATTCATATATTTAATAAAGGAATTGTAAAACTTTTGAATTGAAAACTCGTCTATCCACAGCATGGCACATAAAAAAATTGTGATTTAAAAAAATACAAAATAAATTATATTTTTCTAAGTGAGCAATCATACCTACAATTAACCTGTACCATGAACAACCCATGGCGGGTTATGGGTTCAGTGCAATGTGAGGAAGTACTGTTACAAGGCCAACGGTTGTGTAGGGAGGTGACGGGCTAATATCACGCTCAACCACCAGATTTCCCTATTAATTAATTATTTAATTAAGAGTACCCACTTTATAGAGGATGGGTTTGCCCCAGGGTCTATCCACGGCTGATGAAAACTTACAATTAATAATTAGATATTTATTAAAATAAATATTTAATAGAATACTTTTCGATCTGCAGCAGGCAACAGTAAAACTGCAGTCAAGGTGATGATCGCTAAATGTTATATTACACATAAGCGGGAACAAGTGACGTCATGCGGGCAAAGTGGTACCTGCGAGCTCTGGGTTGGAAACCCTTGCCTTAGAGACACCATTTATAAGTTAAATATTGTTTATAGCTTGAACTCAAACTGTTTCTGATGATTTTATTTGAGAATGTTCAAGTTTTTCTCAACTTTTAAAAAATTACAGATGTCATTGATATGAGCCCTCTCATATGTGTAAAAAAAATATAAAGAAAAAACAAATTAATATACTAAAAAACAAAACAAATTCTTTCAACTCTAAAGATTATTTCGAATATTTATCGCTTAAATGATTCTAGAACAGGAGTATACCAAGCTTGGATTGAAACTATGAATCCATAAACTAAGAAATTGTTTACAATTGACTTATTATTGTCAAGTAAAATAAAAAGCTAAAATTCAATTTAAGTTGATAAATTTTAAAATGTAAAAACAATATGCAAAATAATAAAGGACAAATTACCATCATTTAAATAGACAAAAACTGTCCAATATACTAGTTCTAAAAAAAGTTGTGAAAAATCTTATTTAAAGGATATATTATTAAAATTTAAATTTAATTTATATACAGTGGCTAATTAAATAATACAAGTATCCATTGTTATTTTATTACCTTCAGAAAAATGATGCCTGTACTATGCCTCCGCCGATTTAGATGGTTAGGGACGTTGAGCGCAGAAAGGTCCAGCTAAGGACATGCAAACACTAGCTACTCACAGCATTGTACAAAACATTTGCACGACACACAATTAATAAAGTAATTAACAAAAATTTAACGCAATAAAAAAATAAACATACATACAAATATAGAGTAGGATTATAACCCCATGCATCATTGGCCATAATTGAGATGAAAAAAAAAAAGAGACACTAAATACATATTATATCAATTAGTGAGATGGAAAGTAAAATGTATAACCCGCTCAATATATGAAAATTTGATTTTTTGGGTTGGCATATATGTCCTTTTGGTTTTACTAATCAATTTTTTCAACAATTACTTTATCTCTATAAGTATGCAATTTTAATAATATTCCAACAGAAAAGTAAAATACAGAGAATATATCTTTTTTTTTTTAGGATGTTATGATTTCCTCATATTCATGAGATAAGTAGACAGTATGTCCAGTTTCTTGACTCCCAAATCGCCAAATGGATGGTGAAAACGAATTAGGGCAGGAATAGTAAAGTAACAATGGATTTGTACTGTTTTTGAGGAGGATAAAAAAATTTGTATTTTATCAATCACAAACATTGATAATTAAAAATAATAACTACTACAAAGTATAAAAATTAATGATCAAGTTCACTTACAAATTAGATTTTAATGATATCAAAGAAAAATGTAGTAATTTTCTTTTCTTAATATTACTTTTTACATTTATTATTTATTTCTTGAATTATTTTATATTTTAGGGATTACGAAAGAAGAAAGCAGGTAATAACAAGTGATACTTTATACACCAGATCAAAATAAAAGTAATATCAATAAAAATGTTAACTTTCTCCACAAAGACCAAAAGAACTTATTTGCCACTCCATTATTTGTTAAAATATTTTTGGTAAAAAAAGAAGTTTTTCATGCAATAAAAATATTAATACTTTCTAAAAACATGGACAATGTTAAACTGAGTTGTGAATAACAGTTGATATCATGCAGTATTGATAATTACTACATCTATTAACATTATGTCTATTATTATGAATATTTATAGTATCAAAAGAAAGAAATTGATGACACCCTTAAGAGGATGAAAGTACTAGGCAGAAGTGATAAAGTACAAAGAACTACCGCAAGAATAAACTAATAAATACAAGGGTAGAAAATAAAAGCAATAAGCTCAAAGCACTCAATGAAATAAAAGTGATACGGCAAAGTAGAAAACATTTTGAATAGTACCAATAACTGGGTTCAACTGTGAACATCAAAAATTTAAAAACAATAATGTGTCCAAAATAAATTAATAAAACAGATAATGATTAATAATTAAGAAATATAAATAAAATACTAATTTACTGATTAATTGAAATAATGCTTTAATCATTAAAATAAATAATTATTTGACCATTTCTTTTAATGATGACCAAAGTTACATTTATGAAATAATTTTGCTGAATTTAAGTTAAGGTCAAAGCAAGAATAATGAGGGAATAAACCAGTACGTAATACGTCAACATGAAATACGCTTTTTATAAGTATTTTAAATTAATTTATGATCAATAAGTTTTTAAAAATTTAGAATCTTTATAAAGACAAACGTTGAATTTGCACACAAAATAACAATCACTTAAGCATCAGTAAAAGACGTACACGTTAAAACTGACAAAAAGCTCACATCATATAAAAATAAAGTTAAAAAATTATAGGACCAATTGTTAATCAACTTATCTCATAAATTTTAACATATTACCATGAAAGTGACCATTTAAAAAAAAATAGTTTAGACATTACTAATAATAAAAATATTTCACAAAACAAGTACAACATTATTTATTACAAATTTGATTTTATTTAATATATATATATTTTTTTTTAATATGAAAAGCCATTTATGGTCATAACGGAATAAATACATAAGTTATTTTTTGCGGCCATCTCTACTTATGCTATTCATACTTAACAATATAAAAAACAAACAGACAAAAAAAAAAAAAAAAAAGAAAATCTAATTAATAAATAACCTTTGAAAATAAAATAAAGATTGTATAGCCAATCACTATATAATATCAAAAACATATATTTATAAATTACTGTTTTCTGGCTAAAGTGGAATACTGACTTTCCATTCTAAATGGAAAATCTCTTCATTTTATTAATTAACTATTTATACGGTAAAGATAAGTATAATCACCAATGATTTCTAATGGGACAGGTGAGATCTACCAAAACTTGTTTTACCTAACATTGTTTTTCATATAGAAAACAAAAAGTAGCAGTTAGAATAGGTGAAGAGGTTAGGTGTTATTTAGAATAATTGGTAAATTACCAGAGCCCGTTAAGGTTCAAGTTGTAAACCATGGAATTTTTTATTTTAACATTTTCCTTCTACATATTCTCTCATAGAAGTATTATTATTAGTATTTTAAAAGTTTCTCCAAAACAAGTTTAATGATTTTTTTTTAGAAATATTCAGTCGCTGGGATAATATCAGAGAATTCATCGATGTTTGGTGGCATATTCTAATGAATTGCTCAATACATTTCGTCTTTGAGATATCAATATATTACCCAGTATTACAACAAACCGAAATGGCTTTAACCATCCTATCGCTATCAGTACTTCCTTCCTATCTTCCTATACCAGGCTATTAGAACTCTGTGACCCTCCTTAATTTTACAGAGCCTACAATTTAAATCCTTCATTCAATCCCATCCCACCAGATCCTGTACGTCCAACCACTATCCTTCTCATCATCGAACTGCTGTGTTTGACGAATCCTTTGTAATTCAAACCATCTCTCTCTGGAATTCCATCCCTCCCGATATTCAATATGCAAAGTTAGTCTTAAAATCTCTTCTTTTTAAGCACCAATTCCATTCCCAATCGGATCGATTATGAAATGCCCGTAACAGAACTCTCTACGTAACTCCAGATACCCGTTTGTTTATTTATTTTATTACATTTTTTCTCTGTTTATTTTGTATTTATCTATTCTTTTTTTCTATCTTTCTATTACCTGTATTTTTACTTTATATTATCAATTATTTTGTAAATATTTAATTTGAGTTATGGACACACTGGCATATTTATTAATATTCTGCACTTATAATTTGTTCTAAAGGGACACTCAGTAGTTATCCCAGAATAATAAAATTGTTTTCATTCATTCATAGTTCATCATTTCTGGAATTGGATTTCTTATGAGACGGTAAGTCAATTTTTTAAATTTTATTCATGGTTTTAGGTTTTGAATTTTATCATAATGCAAAAATAAAATCCTGCGTATAAAACAACATAAATATATAATTTTTATTATCAACTCCTTAAATTTAGTTTCTGAATGTGCAAGTTCCAGATTTATAACCGAACCAATTCTAACCAGAGTGGTGAGATTTATTTTGTGGGTCTCCCAAAAAATTAATTTTAACCCATCGAGGCCGGATTCGAACCAGTGCTGACTCGAATGTGAGAGTGGGCAATGTGGCCTCAAAAAACAATTACTTGCAAATCAGCTAATGGGATTAAATAAAATAATGACAGTTGGGTAAATACAATTAACAGGAGAACATTTATAAAATTCTACTTCTCTTTTTAAATGTCAACAGTATCAACTTTATTCACCGGTAGTAATCTACTTATAACCTATATTATACATATATATATATATATATATATATATATATATATATATATATATATAGTAGTATATATTATATGCACATTAAACATTTATTATTAGTGTTTTATATATTTTTCATAATTTATTCAAGCTAATTATTCTTTAATTCTGAAATTAACTTCAGTTGGGTGGGCATGTGAAATTTCTAAAATGGAATTTTTAAAAATATCATCGGTTTATTGCTAAAAGTCAATAATTACATTTTTGATGTTGAACTTAAAAACGTTTTGATGAATGAGAACTTTTAAGAATGTTTTTGTGAATTTCAACCACATTCATTGATTAAAAAAAACAAAACAGTAAGTGTACTAAAATGACAAAACCTTTTTATATCTCAAATATAGTTACAACATAATTTTCTGATTTCACAAAGGGAAAATTCATTCAAAGTTCTTAGTGATTTAAGGTTAAAAAAATGTCACTTATGGACTTTTCGCAATAAACCGATGGTATATTAGTTCACCTGCTTAAAGATGAAAATCATAGTAGTTAGGTTTTTAGTTAATTTTATAATTTTAGATAGTGTACATATTGATAGGAGAACTGGGGGAAAGAAGATCTATATCCTATTTTGATGTTTAAGTCTTAGCCATTTCCTAAATGTTTTTATTTGGATTTAACATCCTTAAGTATTCCAACTAGGGCCATATGTATTTCAAGGAAAAAATAAATAAATGTAGTCTACCTTCGTCATTACTATTGGCATTAAATAACTGTTGAGAAAAAATAATAAAAAAAGCAAAAAATAATTAAAATTAAGCAAAACACACGTGACCTTATAAAAATAAATAAACAAAGATATTTTGATTAATAAATTTAAAACTAAATCCTAGCAGTCAAACATGCAATATTCAATAAGTAAATTATTTAAAATAATAAAAAAAAAAGATATACCCTTTGCTTTTTTGGATACTGAGCTCGCTTTATTTTATTAATGAATTGCTCCATAAACCTCAGAAAATTATCAGTTAGATTGGATCTCTCTTCATTCGTGAACGGTGTATAGATATCACAATGTTCAGCACCATCAAGTATTTTTTTCGTTACAGCTTGACACATTGGGATTAAATATACACGAAACCTCCAATACTTAAGAGTCTAAATGAGAAATATTTTAGTATAATAAATTACATGAATCAATTATAAAAAGAAAAGTAATATAATTTTTTTTTTAATAATAATGAAAAACACCTCGACAAGTGCAAAGTCAGTATCTCCCCGAGTACAGATGTAATTATCTATATAATTCCAATTGAAATTTTCCAGCTTTTCAGTGGTAAATGAAATCCACGAGACATCATAAGTTGTATGATCAGGAGCTTGAAATCGATAGCGATAGTGAAAATCAAAAGGAGGATAAGGATGCCTAAAAATAAAGTATTTAAATTATATTTTGGCTGGCCATTCAGTATATAATGAACAAGCAGCATAAGTAATACATTTATTTTCTATATGAATAACTGAAAATCAGATTAAACAGTTTGCTCTAAAATGCAGATGATGAGCATATTAATGATTTTTTTCCCCTAAAAAATAACTCATTTTATTTTATTTTTAATACTACATAACCATGAAAACTGAAATAGGGTTAACAAAACAAAAAATCACAGTAAAATAATCTCATAATTTAAATTATAAGAAATTTAAAAATAAAATGAACATTAAATTTTGAATATGTTCATAAAATAAAACCATTAATATTACACAATAAAAAGAGAATACTATATTTAGGCTTACTAAAAAAAACAACTAAATTTAGAACAATTGTGGGAACATTGTTGAACGTTAAAACTCATAAAATGTGGAAGCAAGAGTAGATAGTTAATCTATCACAGTAGTTTACTTTTTGATAATAAATAATTTTTTCAAAATATGTTTAAAACGTTAGCTGCTGAGCATGATATCTCTTAAACGTCTTTCCCCACGATATCGGTCCACAGCGACCGACACTAATTATGAAGTTCCTAACAGCATCGGACGGTGGAGACATGCATCAGTTTTTAGGTATACCGCTATTTTTTAAAACAAAGGTGAACTAAATTACCTATTCAGAGAAGACTCCGACGTCCTATGGCGTTTTTATGATGAGTTTTTTATTATATCTCTTTATTTTAGTAAACAAGAGTTATTTTTAGGGATATAAATCTTTAATATTGAAAATGAAATGAGAAAAAGTTTATTTATTACATATAATTATAATTTTCAAGATATAATTTTTACATTGTTTATATGTATGTTATTTATTATTTATTTATGTAGACATGTTAAATAAGCAAGATGAACTCTCAAGAGCTACTGCACTGCAGGAATAGGTATCGGACGACGGGGGGTGATACCGTAGGGAAATCATTTTTTATCAGTCTGGTACGGTATCAGTCCTTGGCATCCGAAAACGTTTTATCAGATATAATGATTATTTACGCTCGCATCTTTACATCTATACAACTCCCAAAAAATTACCATTTTAGAGACTTCATAAGATAGACAAAATTTGAAAAAAATCCCGACCGTTTGGTAGTTGAGAGGAATATCGTACCTTGGGGACAGTAACCGCAGCTAATGTGTTAAATAAAAATTGTATTAATTTATTTTGTTGGCTACTTTAATGATTGATAAGAATAATTAGGTGAAATATTTTGAATTTGATAGAACAAAAAGCTTATGAACTGTGAAGAAATGTTCTCTGGATGTTTGCCTTGGGTTTATGTGATGTTATTTAGTTTAGCTATTGTAGGAGTCCCCAAACCTTTTCTACTTGAGGCCAGATCATATTTGTAGGATATTAGTCAAGTGATAGGCACTAGGTTTTTTTTTTTTTTATTCTTTGATATGATTAATAATAAAAAAAAGAAAAACAAAAATTATTTTAATTTTCAATAAAGTAATATTTACATTCTTGTAAAAGATATAAAACTTCTATATAAGATAAATGCTAATGTGATCTGGATTAATTAAAAAACAAAACAACTAATTTGAAACAATAAAATACGGACATATAACCATATAACAAGAAAAAATGCTGTAATATAAATAAATGAAAACTTTAATAAAAAACAGGAATATATTCCCAATTAATTGCTTATTGAATATTAAAAAAAGTTATTTAACATTTTTAAAAAGTTCACTGAACAGCTATACTGCATAATGTAATTACCAACTGCCAAGATCGCTGGTATAGGTTATGTCAAGTGGAGACACGTTAAGTCATGCAGACAAAATAGTGACCACAGGCACATGCTTGGGGACCCCTGTGCTAGATTTAATTCAGTTTTAGACAGAGGTATGTGATAAAAAAAGATATTAACATTACCTGGGACGATATCGAGTTACTCTGATTTCAGAACCAGATAAAGCTAAGCGATGAAACACTCTTCCAATACTCAACTTATACTCTGTGATACTTCCTTGTTCTTGCTGGCTCTTAGGGGCAATCACAAGACTCCCAGTTGTGCTCAAGCTTGGAGTTTGACCACCATATTCTTCTATTATAATTTGAAACCCCTTAAAAAAGAAATTAGTAAAATTAAAATAATATAAAAGTGACAATTATGGTTTAACATTGATTGGATTTGTTAAAACAATTAAAACTAACAATAGAATAGAAACAATAGAAATAAAAATCATGTTTTGTAATTGTATCAATTTAAAACAATAAAATAAACTTTATATATATATATATATATATATATATATATATATATAAAGTGTTTGATATGCATATATATAATTAAGCAATTCATTACTTGGGCAAGTCTCTGGGATATGAGTTCTTTGAAGACTTCATCAGTTGAAAGAGGTTTTCGATAAATTACTCTTTGCTGTGCATAGTCTGCATTTACAGCTTCTGGTAGGAGATTGTAATCAGAGAAAACATAATCAGTCTTGAGACATACATCATCCGGAAAATAATCTGTTGTTATCGGAAGGCAAGCTGGAAACGTCAGAGACTTCCAATCCACACCTAAATGAGAACATTTAAAAAGGAAAAACAATATATCAATAATTAAACAAGTAAAATAAAAATTTATTTACAAAAAAAACAAAACATTTAAAATAGAATATCATTTAATAAAAAACTTAAACAGTAAGAGATGGAATTAAATTAATTTTCAAATGACAATTGTTTTTACAAAAAAGTTGAAAAAAAAATTAAAATTGTCCAATAATGAAATTATTTTGATATCTTGTAATAATTATTTAGAATAATATATATTTCTTACTTTAAAAATATATTTTGATCCTTTCATTCGGAAATGATTTATTTGTATAATAAATAAATACTCATAAGTATAAAAATAATTAATAAATATTTTCCAGCTATTTAAAATAGTTCTTATTTTAAGTTAGTTATTTCAAACTCAAACCTATCAGTCACAAATAAAGTAGTATTTATGCCCTATTACCACAATTATAATAATTTTTTTAAATAGTTTAATGACAAAACATTGATATAAAAATAATAAATTGAGTTTATTAAATAAAAACCTCCAAATCAATAAAGTAAAATATTTTATTTGAAAAAAAAAATGTTAAATCCTTAAACCAAAAATAATTGTCAGAAAGATGAAATAGCCAGGAATGTTATCATCCACCAATGCATTTTGAGAAAGGTAAAACTAACAATTATCATTTTATATATATATACAACCATTAGTAAAATAAATGTGTAACCATTTTTGATTGGTTAGCTTATAGCAAGTTTGTACACATTTTATCAAATATGAAAGTGAAAAAAGCAAAGCAAGATAATTCTACTTTTATAAATGATTTCGCTATTAGGGCCATTCTAGATTCTATATCGCTATCCAATCCATAACAAACAATATAGTGCAACCTGAAACTTTTTTTTTATCTTCCATAAAACTTTGAAAATGTTTGGATGGTTTAATTCTGACATACAGATAAATGCAAATCATTCAGAGATGGCCAAGATTAACTTATAAAATATTGAGAACATATTTTCAAACTTATTGGAATATATTGAAGAGAAGCAGGGTTGGGGTAATCAGTCAAAATAAAAACAGCAAAAATAAATGATAATATTTATTTTTACATTTTCCATGTAAAAATAACACTTACATATATAAAATAACATTACATTACATTTACATTTGGCAAATGTAAAAATAAATATTACTTGTTGGCCCGTGCGAAGTAAGTAGTTCCTATGTATTATGTAAGGAAGGAATTCATATTTTTTCCTTGGCCGATTAAAATATTCCATTAAACATAATAGACCAAAATATTTGTACTAATTGCTTTGCTAGGATCTATTTTTAAATGCTGACTGGAAAGATAATAAAAGTAATAAAGACAAAATAATGCCCCGATCATGGGATTTTCTAAGAACAAACAAATGCCTTTAAGAAATAATAAAGTAATATATCAGCCAGGAAAAAAAAGTGTAGTAGACTATTCTACTCCCAAATATCTTTAAAGAGGAAGACATTATTAAGAATACTAAAACTAATGGACTGTATCTTTGTTAATAATTGTTAGATTTTTTTTTTGTAGGTAATTTAGTAATCTTTCTAATTATAATGAGTATGATCAAGAAAAAAATGCATACTTTTTGAGTTATTCGCAAATAAAGTTTCTTTACCTTCATAACTTTTTTCCAGAAATTTCGGGGGAATAGGACTATTTTTCACATGTGAAGGAGAAGAATATCTCCAAAATGAGTGGTCAATCATTGGATTTGATGAAGAATTGACGAACTTATGGCATACCGACAAAAAAAACATCTTTTAGAAATAATATATAGGATAATTTATTTTTGCTATTTTTATTTTGACTGATCACCCCAACCATCCTTCTCTAAAATTATTCACTACAGTCAACAATCAACCCACAATTATTGGAATATACATTACTAAGGCAGGTAGATATAATTTAGAATAAATATTGATAAAAAAATATACAAAATGAAGGTAAAATTTAACAACAGAAAAGCTAAAAAAAATTACTAAGTGCAGAAATTATACCATTGCAAAGCAATTATAAATTAACATAGAAGAAAAAAATAGCACATTAAACTAATGTTACAATGTTAAGAACAATTAAATAACCTCAATTAACCAAGGCGATGATTACATACAAGACATATTAAGTATGTAAGACATATTATAATAAAAGAAATAAAAAAAAAATCATGCTTTTGACTACATAATATACATTAAATACTGCAATTAATGGATTTATTTTGATAAAATCCCAGCAAGGAATCAATCAAAAATAATTATACTTCATATAAATTGTAAAACAAGAATTTGATATCAACTTAAAACCCAACTTTCTATATCTTAGATAATTGAGGTAACTTGATTGGTCTTGGTCTTCATTATTTTCATTTTTAGGGATCAGCCAGTTAATTGAAAACATGGTTAATTGGGGCTTTAATGTAAATATTTAAAAAACATTATACCAAAGAACAGCAAACATAAAACATTTTAAACAAAGGAACAATTACTACGGAGCATAAAAGAATTTTGAAGCAATGCCATTATATAATTTGTTTTCCCAGCACCAAACTACATAGCTTGTGAACTAAAAGCAAAATAGAAAAAGAAGTTATTTGCTCAGAAGAATAACTTAAAAAATATAACCAAACCTATTAAAACCTTGGATGCTGCGATGACAGATGACACCACGGCATGAAACACAAGATGGACAATAATAATGTAGACATAATATCATTCAAAAAACAAAATTATTTATTAATACTTAAATGCAACACTACAAAAAAAAAACTTAAAAACTATAAATATAACAATTTGTGCATTTTTAGTAATTAAATTACAAAACTTCACTTCAATGGCATTAAAATTACTACAGTTCATTCAGTTGAAAAATAGCCAACCTTGAGCACAAGAATAGTAATGAAATAATTCTACAGTGACATTTTTTAGTCCGCCAGATATATTAAATTATTTGTTATTTAAAAAGAAAGAAAGAAATACATATTCTCATAGATTAAGTTTCTAATTGTTCAAGATATTACAAAAGTACGCTCAAGATTAGCATAAATTACATGCTTTAATAAGACAAATGATTAGTCACATTTTAAACTTAATTTTAAAACTAAAATAGACATGAAATGAATGTAATTTAAAAGATTGTTCCAAAATTATACATTACCTGTTGTTAATCCAGGAGTCCATTCCTGTTCGCCAGTGGCTCCCCAAAGGAGTGTGGTTAAACTCTTTTTTGTGGAAGGTGTAGAACTGAGGGTGAGTATACTAGGCCTCGGTTTCATTTTACCATCTAAAACACCACCTGAATACAGAACAATTTTATTTCAATATTTTCTAACTTCAGAAATTCTAATAATAAAATTTTACCTGTTTCTGAAACTGGTTTGTTTAACCCAGGAGATCCAGTTTTTCCTTTTGATTTATCATAAGCTTTATAATGATGTTGTTGAATTAACTGTCCATCAGGACCTGAAGACATAAAATTTACAAATAGAATTCAAAGATGAACAAACACAAAAACATCAAATAAAAAAAAAAAGTAGTGTCTAACTTAACACATATTCATCCACATAAGGAAAACACATCATTTTGCAAACAATCACCAACAGCCCAATGACAAAACTTTGCCATTTGCATATAAGAGCAAATAATTTATTCTTGTAAAACTAACACCAATAGTGCCAGAGAACTATGGCTACATTTTATTTAAGCCAATAAATATATTATCTATCTAATTGATTCTTGTTCTTTTAGTTCTGATTAAATTAAATTCTAATTTTTACCAAACATAGATAATGAGATGCCGACATTTTGTGAATGATGTTGCATTGTGAATGCATTTTGAAAAATTAACGGACAAATATGTGTTAGGATAAACTTGAAAGCATGCAATTTTATGATAAGAATTTTCAGTGATACCATACAGCATTACTACTACATATGGGGCAAAAATATTGTTTGGAAATGATAAAAATTCTAATACCTTTAGGAAATATATGAGTCCACCTTCTACGGTTGCTGGTAAGTTTGATGGTGATATGAGATGGATCAAAAGGGTTTATTAACGCTCTACCAGGCCTCATATTTTGATGACCCAAATGAGTGCTTGGTGATCCACTGCTGCCCACAATATGTCTGCTTGGCGGAGAATCTGTTACATCTTCTACAGCTCGAACTTTCACTAAACATAAGTCCTTGAATCATTAACATTATAGCCATCAATTATAATTTCATAAGTCGATAAAAATATTGATAAAATTGTAGCTATAAGCAAATAGAGCAGGAGCAAATAATGCGACACGAACAAAACAATAATAATAATTTATATGACACTAACACAATTTTGATAAATAAGTTAGGTCAAAAAGTATTACTATCACATATTGTTTTTATTAATAATGTAACTTCTTGACTTATGTAGGAGAAATATACATGGACAGTAAAATAATAGCAACATTGGTGCACACATAGATATTCAATGTAATATGCTGAACGAGAAATGCCAGAAAAAATGGGTCCACTGAAAATCTTTTACCAAATAAAAAGTAAGGATATAATATTTACAACTTTAATTACAAAATGTATTCCATCATTTGAAAACTCATTCATTTTAGATATTGTGATATGGTAGTATATCAGAATAACTCATAGTTAATATCTGTTTCTAGTTGGAAATAGATATATCATTAGTATACAAGCAATCAAGTTTTAAAAATATATATAAAAACACATATAGTTCATAAAGTATCATCTTACAGTCTGAAATGAATGGCGGTGTATGGTGGGCTGCAGCTTCATCACTACTTTGCAGAGGTATTGTTATCGCTGGGCTGTGGCTAAGGGTCTCACCACTGCTATAGTGGATATCAGGATCTGACATTTTTCTACGATTTATTTTCACAGGTCCATCAATACTAGGCACACTTGTTTTCTTCATGTGCCGCATGTTCCTTAAAAAAACAATTTTTTTATCATGATACTGAAATTTCATATGGGATAAAAACAAAAAGGGGGCTCATCAATTGAAATATAAACAGAAATTTCAATCTGTACACAATAATGTTCAACGTTATATTTAAAGATAGATAGATACAACTTGTCCCACCCATTACTGATTTTATTAAATACGGTAATGATATTAATTATCGTTAAAAAATAAAAATGGGTAGTTTACAATGATAAAAATATCGAAATGGCCCACCAAGTAACCATTTTTATCGATTCACTACAGAATAATCCTTGCAGATTCCTCCCTCTCCAATTCCTCAATCACGATTTGATTCTCTTTGCTCTGAATTCCTTCAAATGACGATATAATTGCTTCTACAATTAAATCCTGAATGAATGACTATGGTTAAAAAATTCCACTTTTCCTACAGCCTGGAAAAAGAAGTGTCCTCCTTAATTAGCCGCACACTTAAGATCCATTTTCATCCTATCTATTTGTCTAAACATTTTAAAAGAATTGTTCATTCTTATCTAACCTCCTTCCTTGAGCAAAATAAAGTGTTCCCGTTAATCCTTTCCAACCAGAGTTCTATTTTAGTAACTGCACATAATCGGCTCTGATGAAAATCACTTAAGACTTTTATTTAGTCCTTTGCAGACCAACAGAAAAGCACAATCCTACTCCTCTTTGACATCCAAATAATACAACTCGTTTCACTCCTTCCTATTTCATTACTTCTAAACCTTCATTATTCCTAATAAAATTCGATCATCACTGCTTATCCCTCGAGGTGTATCTCAGGGTTCTTTCTTCTCACCATAATTATTTTTAAATAATATATATTTCCATTCACCCATACAACATACTTAAGCCTCTCTCCATGATGACATTAATAATATTGAAGGCTAGGCTTCAAAAACATAAGTTTTTTTTTATAAAACTTTTTCCAGCTGAAACTAAGGTAATTCTTATTGGTTCATGATCCCCACTCAATCACTTCCTATATCTCAACTATATTCATATTAATTTCCAAAACCTTTAAAAAAAAAGTGGGGTGGCTCAGTGGTAGGGTACTGAGCTTCCAATGCTAAAGGTCCCAGGTTCGAACCCCGGCTCATGGCAGAAAATTTATTTATCTGTTTCATTGGCCGTGGGGCGACCCTGGGTTGGTGAACCCTCCTGGGGCACACCCAGCCTCTATAAAGTGGGTACCCTTAATTAAATAATTGATTAAGGGGGAAAACCTGGCGGTTGAGCGTGATCTCGGTCAAATCACCTCCTTGCACAACCGTTGACCTAGAAACAGTGCTTTCCCTAAATAGTACTGAACCCAAGACCCTTCATGGGTTGTAGTGGTACAGGTATTAAAAGAAAAAACAACCTCAGAGTTACTTTTGATTAAAAACTAAACTGGAATAACTATATTTCTCAAATCACTCAAAAATTCATCTCAATCCTTAAACAGCAATGAAAAATGTTGATTATTTCCTCATTTCAAAAGTGAATACCTCCTAGTTCCTTCCTGTTTCAATCTTCGTTAACAAAAAACCATCCTATAGTCTTGACCTCATCATTCTACTCTTCTCTCCACTCCTTAAATACAAGATGTCAACCTTCCAAAACTTTTTTCATTTCGGTTAATCCTTACCTCACCGTTTCTTGCATACAGAATATAGCTCTAGAGGTACAACCAAACCTATTCTAATCAGAGTGGGAAGGCCAATGTCATATTCATTCCGTGGGTCCACCACAAAAATAATTTTAACCCATTATGATATGTAAATATATGTGTGTACATAAATATTTTCTCAATTTTCATTTATTTGTTTTTAAATGTATTTCATTTATTTTATTTGCAACACTATTGCATTTTTTGTATTCATTAATTTGTCTTAAGTTTATAATTTAATAAAATCTTTATCAATGTAACTAACAATTGCTGTTTTAACATACAATTTTGTTATTCTAAGAGTACTAAATGTCCCAGAATAAAGATGAACTTTTGTTTCAGAATCAGTAATGTATGTTTTGTCTAGAAGTGGAGTAGTTCACTGGGTGTGCACATCTAACTCTTGGATCAGGATTTGAGCCTGAGGCTGTGGGCAGAAAACTCATTTTCGATGATGCATCAATGGTGAATTGACTTTAGGTTACGGAGACCAACCCTGAGGAATACCAAGCCTCAAAAAAGCAAACAGACCCTTCAATGGATTTGAAGAAGGAATTGAATAGGATTTCGTATTGATGTTAAGCACACCATCTTCTAGTATGGTTATTGGTCAAGAAACTCAAGACCCTTCGCTGTTAGTAGTGGCACAAGTTTAATTATTTATGCTTTATTTAAGATATTAGGTGGTGGTAACAAACTTTAAGCCAATGTATTTTCATTATTAGTGATTGCGGAAATTACTGTGGCCTTAGGTAAATTTACCAAGTACAACACATTAACTCCCCATCTATACTTACTATAAAGTACACAGTTGTCAGGACTAATAATTTCCGAACTTCAAACTACAATAAGATATTAAAAAGGTTGTAATTTCCAATGGAATATATTCTTGTTTATTAATATTTTTTATTTTACAAAATCTATAAAAATTTTATACTAAATCACAATAGCAATATATCCCTTTTAAACTTACTTCGTCGACAAAGCTGATGGCATGGTGAAGACTTGATCATCATAAGCCTGATAATCAACCACATTTGTTGTAAAGTCTTCATCTTCATAAACGGTTTTTGATCTGACTGAACTATTCAAAGTTGGTGGTGGTTTGGAGCATTTCGGTGGTAATTTTATTCTCGGTACAAAGTTAGAATATGCTACCCTTTTTTCTGAGGTATAAAAACTAAGGCATAAAAAGAAGGAAATCATCATAAATACGTACAAGAAAATAAATATTTCTTTCACTTAGAAAGGCTACAAACCTCAGATTAATCCAATGAGGCATACTATAATCGTCTGTATTGAATGAAGCATCTTTATTATGAAACTAAAATCATAAAAAGAACTAATTACAACAGAGGAAAATTCCTATAATAAAAATAACACCCACCTGTTGTAATAAAAAATAAAAATAATTGATGAATCCTAAGGAACCATTACTTAAAAAGAACACAATTTTAACATATTATTGACAGGATAAACAAATATATGTTTCCTTAACTGCTGGTGAAACGCTTCATAAATTAACAATTTAATGTTTTATTAAATTTATTAACAACTAAAATAGATTTTTATTTATTTATATTTTATTTTATGCAATTTGTACCTGCGCGATTTTTAAATTGAAAAAAAAAAATTAAAATAGTTTTTGTACTGTTGTATAGTAAATTGCTCTTAATTAAATTGGTATTTACTAACGACTAGCAATTTTTTTTGGAATCTGTCTCTGTCCATAAGATGTTAAGGGTAAGGATCCCTCCCTCTCTCATGATAGGATGGTTAGCCCCCCCATTCTATCATGGGACAGGGGAACCGTAGGGGCTTGCCCCGGGCCTGTGACCATTCATGGCCTCTGGGACCTTAGGTCCAAAAATGGTACTACGGGCTGGTGGTCTACCTCCTTCAGGCAATGACTACATGGGCTGGTGGCCGGGGCCGCTTGGCGGTACGCCGGTTGCAGACGTAGTGGTCGTGTGTTAGATGCTCCCAGTAGTATGACCCCAGTTGTTCTGGTACTATCCACTGTGGTGCGGAAGCTAGAGAAGTAGGTTTTGTCTTTTCCAAGGATGCCATCAGGTGGTATCCTTACCTATTGGTCGTGGAGTGCAGGGATAGGAAAGAGTCCGGTTAAGGCCCTCAGGCTAGGCACGACTTCTTTCCGTTCCAGTCCTCAATACGACGTACACACATGTCCATAACATGTGTGCAGAACATGGTTTGTTAGCATATGAAACCATTTTCTTAATTGACAACGAACACGCCACAATGTTTTACATAGATTAAATTAAAGAATACGTATATTGTAATGGATACGTATTACAATATACATTGCTGTCCATTGATAGCCATGCAGAGGTTGTTTTATAATTTTGTTTTTGTTTTATAATTTTATATATATAACAGAGGTGGTAGTAATATGCACAGAACTTGAAAGAAAATAAGAAAAGAAAATTAATCTAATTAGAAATTTTTAATGTAAAGGGTAACAGGGTTAGCACATCTACTAACCACTCATAACCTCATCACAGTTTATCTCGATAATCTCATTTATTCATCTTACATTTAATTCCAGAGATTATTTAACCATTCAGCAGGCATGCAGGAATATAAAATGTTCCAATTCAAGATTTTTCTTTATATTCAACAAGTGCTTGAATTTTCACTTTCAGCCCCTGTCTATATTCGTTCATCAATCCCTCATCATTAGTTATTCTGTGAATTGATGAAAAACATAGTGGTGCACTTTTCACGAAATTCTTTTAAATTTTTTAGCTTATTTAGCATTTATACTACATCTATGATATCACTCAGAAAGGCATATTTATTTTAGGTTTCAACGGAACAACTTCATAGAATAGGTGCTATATCTTTAAAAAATCATAACTCAAAATAATGACTTACAGTATAAAATATACCAACCTTAAAAAGAGGCACTGCGTGGAGGGGTTGCTCACCGAGACAAACCAAATCACTACCAACTCCATTATCAATTACTCTTTGCTTTGTAACATTAGTGAGTTCTCGGTCAACTTCAAAAACACCAACCCCAGGAGTTATGACAACTGATAACTGTCCAGTTCTATCAAAGCTTCGATCCAAGTAGTGCTTTTCAAATACTAAAAGAAATATTACATTTCATTAAAGATCAAGATCTAATACAAGAAACCCTTCAATATCATATGTGAGACTGATTAACCACATTAAATATTCTATATGCATATTAGCATACCATAAAATAAAGTCCCTGAATCTCTAGTAATAGTAAAATAATAATTAATTCCATAAATTAAAAATCTATTTATCTAATTTCTAATTCTAAATGAAATATCCCAGGAGATCAACCGAAGAATTGCTGCAGCCAATCGAAGCTATTTTGGGCTAGCAAAATACTTCAAAAGCAGACACCTCTCCAACAAGACCAAGATCGGCCTATATAAGGCCCTGATTCGTCCGGTACTTACGTATGGGTCAGAGACCTGGGCCTTCACTAGAGCCAGTGAGAACCTCCTTCTGGTGTTTGGACAGAAGATATTGAGAAGAATTTTTGGCCCAGTTCGAGAAGGAGACACCTGGATAAGGAGGAAGAATCGGGAACTCTCAAGACTGTACAGAGATCCTGATATCATCGAATGGATCAAGATTGGGAGACTTCGATGGACGGGCCACGTTGCAAGGATGAAGGAGGACGAGATTCCTAAGAGGACATTGGCTGAAGAGCTTCATGGCAAGCGAAGAGTGGGTAGGCCAAATGTAAGGTGGGCTGACACCGTCACAGGAACTGGAGGCGTTAGGAACTGGAGAGCTGCAACAGATAGAGCCAACTGGCGGAGACTTTTGGAGGAGGCCTAGACCCGTTAACGGGTTGTTGCGCCAACTATGTATGTATGTATGTAATATTTTTGAAATTGGTTTCATCCTTAAGTATTTAAATGTTGAAAAAAGATTGATAAATAGATGATCAACAATTAAAAACAGATTTCTTGTTTTGTGTATTGTTTCTAAAATACATCATATAGGCTGATGTTTCACTTCAAATGCCTCTTTAGTTTTGGAGAAACATTAGTAAAACAAAATAAAAATACCGCGCTTTCAAAAACTATTTATAATGTTTTGAAGTCCTGAGATTTCCTTCTTTAAAAAGCCTGAAGTTTACCAGGAGTACATTTTGTTAAAATAACTTGTTTTCTTTAACTATATTATCACCTTGACAGATCAAAATTATCATAAATTTATACTTAGAATATTGTTCGAAAACTAAACCACAAAAAAATGAGTTCATAACTAGAAAAGTCAAAATAAAATTACCGTTAAGGGACATATTCAAAACTTCAAGGAAGTTCCCTTGTGCTGCGGTGGAATTGATAGCTTTTGGAACAACTATATTTGGCCTGTTGTTATACTCTAAAACACTCTTCTGATAATCCAGAAACAGCCTTCTCAATTCAATCAAAGTGTGGTTCCAATCATCGTATCTTTCATTTTGGACTACCACTCTACAAAAAATAAAGGATGAATTTTCCTTTAAAACAGTATGATTTGAGAAATTAAAAAATAAATAAATTTGAGAAAGTACCTGTAGAAATCTTCATAAAATCTTCCCCTATAATCCTGTTGCAAACATTGCCTCATATATTGAGGAAATTCCTCCAAGCAATTTGCTTTATAAAAACTTCTTGAAAACAAAACTATTGTCACTTCATGGTTACTGCCATACTTCTGTAATTAAAAAACTTTAAATGAGAACTGTTAAAATGGAAACTTAGAAAATTATTATTTTGTTAAAATCATTGCATTTATAAGGAAGAAATCATTAAATACTATTGACCAAATAAATGACAGCTCATCATTTATAGCAGTCTAATATAATTTTAAATTGTAGTAATATCTGGACAATGATCAGCAATATAAAGAAAAGTGATTAAATAAGGCAACAAGCAATTTAATAATAATAAATTTTACAAATAACATTAAAAACTATGAAGATAATAAACAAGAAAAATCACTATTGTTGGGTTTTTAATAAAATATAATAAACATGTAATTATTTAATATAGTAAAACAACCTTCCATTTCTTAAATAAATCAGCTAAAAATCCATTAATTGCTTTTTCAAAATATAGATCACCATGAATATCGAAATCCCACATTTCTGAGCTCATTTGGATAAACAAATAAACCATACTAGTGAGTGACCGGAAAACCACCTAAAAAGGTATAAATAAAATTAAAGTAATGAAAAATAAATAAAAATAGCATATGGAAACAACTTAAAGAACAATCTTGTGGATAGAACTGCTGGAACGTTAGGTACTTCTACCAAATGAACAGAGAGTATTTATCCTCTGATTCAGACAGTTCCACTACTTTTATTTATTATTGTTTAAACATTTTGAAATTTTTTTACATTCTTTCAATACTGAATATTAATTTGTATTTGATTGAATCAATTAAAACAATAGCTTATATAAGATGAATTAGGTTTTTTTTTTCATTATTTATTGTAAGAAAAACAACATAAGCTATTGACTATATATAATTATAAATTATTGGACAGTGGAGGTAGAAGCTGTTCACAACATAGAAAAGTTAACATTTTTCCAATAAGGCAGAACATGAACACCAAAAGGTCATTGCTAAAGTTGTTTATCTATTAACTATTTGCATTTTATTAAGGAATACGTTACCTTAGTAGAGTCCACAATAACTCCACAAGCAACACGATCACCCCTCACCCACATTTCATACACCTGACATCTAATACTACCTCCACAAAAATCAATTTTTTTATTATTATAAACACAAGAGTTTATCTGAAATCAAAAATACGAATATTTTGAACTAATTGCTTCTGGTATTATGAAAGTTTTAAGAAATATAGAAAGAATAACAATTACTAATGAGTTCTTCAACCTCCAAAATTCACTTCTACCAAGGTATTGATCTTTGAAGATTATTTCGACTGAATCTAAAGCAACAGCAGCTGGATCTACTTGATTTACACAAACATCAGCAAAAGTACGAAGTTGAAATGAAGTTGCGATACTTTGCTCAATGCTAATAACATCTAAAAATGAAATGAAATGATGAATTAAATAATTTTCACAATTGAATTTTTATGTATAGTTACATTGTATATTTAATCCAATAACTATGTTATCTATCTACAAAAATTGACTAATATATTATTAGTCAAAATTGAAAAATTTCAATTAAAAACCTTGAAAAATCATTTAAATAACAAAATAAAAATATACATTTCAGAAAAAAATGGTCAGGGGTCCTCTGGTCAATAGACACATACTATGTATTATAATAGTTTTTATTTTAATTGCCAAAGTTTTGACCTACATTGTAGGTCTTCTTCAGGGCATTTCATCCAAAAAATTTTCAATTTCCTTGCTTCATTCGTCATTTCTACATGAAATGTCCTGATGAAGACCCTAAACGTAGGTCAAAACGTTGTCAATTAAATTAAACATTACTATAATACATAGGATGTGTATTATAGTAATGTTGGTTGACCACATCTCTGACCAAATTATCCTTAAATTAGAATTACAGTCAACTATTTCCATTACTTTCATTTACCTATATATGTAATACATAGTGAGGGTTCTCAAATAATCCCAAAAACCAAATCCTTCAAAATGATCTGAGTATTTGTTTATGCATGTGAATACTCTAGCTCAATAACATAAAGTTGTACGCAACTGAAATTGTGTTTTTAAGATTTGTACATGCCTGGGATGTTACAGCAACTTTTTCATCAAAATCGGCTATCTGGAAGTGCAACTTTATATCATCAATTTTACACATTTTTACAATTTTCTTGAAAATAGCTCAGACGATTTTGATGAAATTCACTGTATCACTGTAAAATTAAGCAGTTGTTGATATAATGTAGGTCTCATTCTTACTGATGTTCTATAACAGTGTTTAAATGCCTAATTTCTTCCTCTAATGTACCTTTATTTTTTTTTTAATTTGAACTAATTAACCATTTCACATAGGAAACTGATATAAAAAATGGTTAAATATAATGAATAAAGAAAATTGATATCTAACTAAACGAGAAATAAGGGTTGGAAACAACCAAGAGTACTGATCTCCAAAATTGTTTACTTTACCAAGAATATGATGTTTTACTAACTGGATCAAGATTTATGACATTATGACTAAAAATATGCTTTGTATTAAACTACTCGAGGAATTACAATAAAAGAAATGGTAAGAAACAAATAAAAACATGATGTATCAGACTTTAAACTTGCCTCTTCCTTGCAAATCTTCTTTGAATAGAGTAACTTGAAGAAGTAATCGACTATACTCATCTTCTGGGTGATAAATTTCGATCACATCTCCTTTCTTTAAGGTAGGAAAATCCTTAGGATTTATTAGAAGATCCTCTCCTAAAAAAAGTGACTTTGTAGGGTAAAGTAAGTAAACTTACAGAATAAATCAAATGAGCAACAGACCATTGAATGATTTTGTATGAACCAATAGCTTATACAGTTTCATTTTAAAATTCATCTCCATCTTAAGTCTTAAAAAAAAGTAATGGATTGTAGTTATCGTTTAAAAACTTCTACATTTAATTTTTTGTAATATATTTTCAGTATTAACGTTTACATTAATAGATAATTCATTTAAAGCTATCTTTTCAAAATTAATTACTATAAACATTGTAAACAGGATTATCAATGTTGACAGCCAGGTTACGTTACTGTTTTAAGTTCTTATCAACGTTTCTCAGGATAATAATTAAAATTATTTAAGATTTCAGGCATGGCCAAAATAAAGTACAAATAAAGACTCATTTAATTTAGTTGCTAAATGCTTTTAGGATCCTGTTAATATTATAATAATAAAAAGGTTTTTTTCCGAGGTGGCAGCTTAATTTTGCCGCCCCTTCATTCACTGCCCCCCCCCTCACCAACAGAAGTCATCTATTTGCAATATTTTATAAACTACAACAATATTTTAGACAATACATTTCGAAATATATATCGGAAACAACTAATAAAAAATCGTAAAGAAATAATAAATTATAATATACATTATATTAATAAATATATACAATAATACATTGTTACATATTTAACCTGAATTAATATCTCGAAAAAAAACAACTTTGATAAATGCCAAAATTAATTGTTTAATATTTCTTTTTAGTGAAATATGACGAATCTTTGAAAAAATTGCTAAAATTTTATTTTAATATACCAATAAAAAGAAAGACCGAGTTATTAATTTAAAAATAAATAAAAACAATAACATTTTAGCTGAGAAAAGAAAAGTTATATTTTACTTGAAATACAAATGGTATAAAGATATTGTGTTTGTTGATTTCAGGAAAGTTAACCAGTTTCCACTCAATGAATTAAGTTGAACTCGTTTGTAGTAGCTAATTAGTCCCATCATTTAATGACCTATTTTATTCTAATAAGTTATAATACTTAAAATAATAAATGATAAATTCCTAAACTTAGATCATTCATGAGGATCGGAAATCCATCAAGCAGTTCCTAAACCCATCGATGTAACAGTAGGCGAGTTCCTAGATGTGGAACTGAGTTAATTGGATGAGCATCGGAAATCCTTCAAAAGATTAGCGCTGAGTTTGGGAACTTGCTCTGTATTACACATCTATATTCATTTTATCTATTTATTACTCTCATAAAAATGTTATATTCTTGAAGCAATATGATATTCAGTTAGCTTTTCAATACCTAACTTGACTATCACTGTTGATAGGATATTAAGAACAATATATATTATATAAATGGAAGATAGAATAAATAATGCAAAAGTCCTTTGGTTCTCAAAATTTGAACCATAATTATTTTTATTTTATAAATTTTAAAATACATTTAATTCAAGCGTGTTAATTTTTCTATAGAATGAAAATAAATGTAATAAAAACTGTTGTAGTTAATTAAGAAAGTTAAATATTAAAACGTTTTCTTAACAATTCATTAATTTAAATACTTTTTTTTAATTTAGAGTATTAAAAAATAAATTCGTTTTTCAAATTTTATTACTCAAAGGTTGGTACTCAATTTCTTTTTCTTCAAAAAATCAGAAATATCATACTTACTTTAGTTGAAAATAATCTAAAAGGTAACACATTCTTAATAATTTAAACCATTTTGATGGTTGAATTAGAGGAATCAATTAAATTTTATATACATATGATTCAATAGTAGAAACAATATTGTTCAGGTTTGGAGCCAAATCTAGCTTCAAGCCACCATTTTACTTTTACACTGGTGGTTCACTGCACTTCTCCTAATTATAGATTTAAAATTTATGGTAATGATGTTAGTTGTTTAATTTTACTATATATACTTATGTCTACCATCTTGGTTGTTGGAAAATATTATTTTTTATAGAACTATTTGATATTTTGCTAATATAATTGCTGATTATGTATATTTTTCATTTGTGAAGGAAAGGTCAGAATCTTTATTTTACTATATAAATTGATCTAAGTAAAAAATTTTTAAATTTTTATTCAGGACGACTTAGTTGTGAGTTTAATAATTTCAAGATTTACAATTCTGAAGCTCTCTTACTACTGAAATTAATAAAAATAATTATATAGATGAGGACAGCACCAGTTACACATAGTTCACAATCACTTTGGTCACACTTGTTCATGGATTGCTGAATGCATCCTAGTTTATCCAAAAGACTGTTTTCGGCACTGCCTGAACAAGTATGACCCAAGTGATCGTGAACCATGTGTAACCCATACGCTCCTAATCTTAATAATTAACTTAATAAATAAATATGAAAGTATCGAATTGGATTAAAACATTTCCATGAAATTATACCTCTAACTGAATCACTTTGAATATTTGCAAGAGATACTTCATAAGTATACAAAATACTGTATCAGATAATTCCATTTATACTACAATGCTTAGAATAAAATTTACAGATTGCTGCCATGTAGAATGATATTTTATTGAAAACCAGTTTTCATATTGAAGTAAAATTACTCAAAATATGGTAAACATATAAATTTGATGAGAAATATTTTGTGAATTATAACAATTTTCTTTATTAGTACTTTAATATAATGCAATTGTTGGTACATTAAACTATTTAATTTTAAATCCTTTAAATATTCTAAAGTATTTAAGCTAAGAAGACTGGTAAAATTGTGTTTTTTTTTATTGCAACAATTATGTTTGGTTTCCTAGGTCATGTCTTTTGTGTGGAAGAAGTCCAGCACAACTCAAAAACATTCTATTCTATCAAAAGTTTTTTTTTAATTTGTACTGGACCGTACCAGTCTTCTTTAAAACTAACGAGTAATGTTTATTACTAAAAAAAGTCAATTAGTTGTTACCATAAGAATTTACATTTCATCTCATAGTTATCTGCTCCGACAAGCAGCTTACTCCTCACCCCTCAACATTTTATGAAGGGCGCAAGCCCCTCCAATATTTCAGTGTTTTACTCAAAAATAACTCACAAGAAGTTCATTAAAATGTATGGGTACTGATTATAATAATATATTATAAGTAATAAACTGATTAGCTACTGTTTTTTGTATGACATTCTATTCTCTGCCCCATTCCTATGCATTAAATAATGTTATGTTAAATTATTCTTAGTCCCTCCAATATTTTCTAAATAGCGGTGTCTATGTTTCGTCTCATTTTCTAACAGAGAATCCAAAGGAAGATATATTGTACAATCTCCTTAGATAATCCAGACAATGAATGTCATCAAATTGGATTGGATGAAAAAATATAACATTTGTAATTAATCAAACTTTGCTATTCTATCTCACCCGGTATAAACTTATTATCTTACCATCATTAGCATATTTCAATGTCGTAAGAATGTTTCAATTCTTCCTGTAATGGTTCTCAAAGAGATTAAATGTAGTAGATATATTAAAGATGCATGAATTTTAGGAATAGCCTGGTTTTTTTTTTTTTTATAGTCACCAAATTCATTATTTACTGTACCGGTGGGGGGTGGTGGCAAGTCGGTCATATGCTTCTTTTCTTTTTGCCGTACCCTGACGGCTACCTTGAGGTTGCCACCATGTACTTACCAGATTGAGAATATCAAGATTCATTTCCTGGGATCGCCGAGAAATGAAAATCAAGTTAAATGGAGCAGGGAGGTACAAATTATTTTATTTGTGCCAACGTTTCAACCCAAACATGTGAGTCATTTTCAGGATGTGGTTCGAGCACTGAAAGCTTTCAAGTACTGACACACTGTTGTTAGTACTTTGACAAGACCAGTTTTCAGAGGTTTTAGGGTAGAACCAAGAACTGAGCTCTGTAGACAGTTTCTTTTCATGGTATCTTCTACTTTGTAAAAGCAAAATTTTGTTTGTAAAGTCCTGTTCTGAAGATATATTCACATCAGACTGTAAATGTTGCTGGAAGCCTTATACTTCAGCAGCTGTTGGAGTACATTTGACTTCCAAATGCTATTGAAGGTGAAGGTTATGTCAAACAAAAGTAGCATAACACACTATTCTGCTCTTTCTTTAATGTGCCAATGTACTCTTAGCAGGGCATCTGTAGATCACCTACTTTGGTACATCCATTCTACAGTAGAGGGCTCACTCTTGAAAAACAGGCTGTTAGTTCACGACTACCAGGTTCTCTAGTACCTTGCTTATAACAGAGAGTAGACAGACCTACTACACTTAGGCATTTGGCTTACAGGACTGGATTATCCTAAGCTTCTTCCTGGTAGGTAACCCTAACATTGGAAAATTTTCCATTTTTTTATAAGCATCTGGTATTCAAGGGCTCACGCTATCACAAAGCTTTTTCAAGAAGTAAGTCCGAGTGAGGTTGGTACCTTCTTGGAATTAGGCATGAAAGATATTTTAATATGCCACATTAGTTGGATTATTAAATTGAAAAGTAATGATTGTAGGCCCTAATGCACATTTGTGGGCTGTTTTTTATTGGACAAAGGGATTTGCCAACCATCAAACTATTTGTGTGGATGCCTCTTTTGTGCTTCCATATTTAACACTTTACAAAGATTTGACAGGTAGGCTAATTGTGTTGAGTGCTTAGGGTTCCTATTAGGGCCTCAGATATTCAACTTCTACAGAGCCTCTGATAAAGATGGAATCTGAATCTCTCTCATCACCACAAGTGCAGGTTGGCAATAATTCAGCAGGAGACTGCTATGAGGAATTAGCAATTATAGATCGATGTCTCATGAGGTGGTACATATTGGAGGAGAAGGAGTATTTCTTGACCTTAATTTGCAGAAAGACATATTCAGACACCAGATGGTGAGGGTAGGCTCGGCGAGTTTACCGAAGATTCTCCATGTGAGAATCAATCAGGAACCTTTTAGATGTTAAAAGATCCTGCAAGAGTACACTCTTGAGGAATGGAACCGATGGACGTTAACAACTCCAGAAGGGGCTAGTATGAGGAAATATTTTCCCACCATTGATTACTGGTTAGCAGCAAAATGATTATAAGCTCTTTTACTGTGGTATGAAAATTGATACGCTATGCTCTCATTGAGGAGCACCAGAGACTACTGAGGATATTGTCATAGTTTTTTTAATTCATTACTGTGGAGAATGAGTTCCAAATATACTCTTATAACTTTTCTTGCATTTTTGTGCTAGTGGGTTTGTCTTTGAATATGTTCCTTGAGCTTAAATTTTCATAAGAAATGTCACAAGTAGTTTTTATAGTT